CAATTTGTCTTCGCTTTCAATTTTGTTTTTCAGAATTCTCCGTTTCTACAGAGTGGTTCCTATTCAAACGTAAATATGTCTTGCATTTATTTCTATTATTTATACTTATTAACTCGTATAACATTACAATCAAATTTTTGGTTAATATTATCGGCAACGGTGCATACAGAAAGGAGATTCGAAGAAAGAGATTTATTTTTAAAAAAATTATGAAAACTTTTCTTAGAATAATCAACTAAACAAGAAATCCTTTTCTCATAATTTTATATTTATTCATAAATATATGATTTTTACACATTGTTTTTTATTGCTTTAGTTGAGAGGATCAGACTGGTGGATTTTCTTACCAACTTTAGGTACAGTAAATATTCGTTGATTTAGAATATGTTTGTATCAATCGCACTTATACATTAGTTTATTTCCATACCTTTTTCTTTCGATAACAATTTAATAATTCGAAATACAGTAAAATCTCTTTAACTCGGAATTTGCGATAATTCGAACTACTATTTTGCATTGTGCATTTTTTTAAATAATTAATTTGTAGGTTCTAATTATTTTTAAAGTTTATATCAGTAAATATTGGCAATGACAAGAACGACCCTACTGCTAATTTGTCATTGCAAAGCTTAGTGAAAACACTGTATTTATTATTTAAATTTGACTTTCAATAAAGTGTACTTTTGAACCATTGAATACTCATTCGAGTAAGAACTCTAATTAGGATTAGGCTTTTCCCCAATCATTCGAGATTCTATTGTATTTGATTGTAAAAAATTCAGTGATAATCAATTACGAGTATAACAGTTCATTTTTTTTTTAATTTAGGTATTTGGTGCATTTGGAATCAGTGGTTTAAAACTAACGGTAATCATTTACTTATATTTCAGATAATTATATTCTATTAAATATTTATCATAATAAATATATTTATTCTAAATTTCAGTAATAAGAAATAATCTACGAGAAGCTTGACTATGAAAATGCTTTCGATTTAAATACAGCAGGACGTATTTAATTTGTTCCATAAACTTTACAAACTGCAAATAAATATAAAATAAAACTTCTTACAGATATGTTTATTGTGTTTCCTGTTTGGGTTTTTAAATATAATTAACTATAGCAAAATATTTCAGAAAAAATAACAATATTAATAATAAATTCAATTATATATCACTTAAGGTGCAATGATTTGTAAATCATTATATTTTTAATGTTGTTGAATATGTGAAGGCAGAGTCCTCCAGAGCTTGTATAGGGACTAAGGAATAGACCAGGCTCCTTTTTCATCTTTAACGACCTCTTTAACATTGGATTTTTTTCCCTAAAAAAAGGAACATAGCATGTTTCTTTCTTAATGAAAATCAGTCTTAAAATTATTTTCTGTTAGTAAAAATAATATTAATTTTATAGGAGTAGAAACCATTGCGGTCTCTTAAGTTTTTTCTCGGGCCGGGCAAAAAATCCCCAGCTTCCCTTCTCCCGACGTCCTTGTATGGGAGGAAGAACCTAGCACTTAAGCTTAAAAGGCTTAAATTTCGAAAATATCTCTCCACTATATTGATTTTTAACTTTCTTATATGATAATACTGTAATAATAAAGAAATGTAACACAGCATAATCATATAGTACAGGACGTCCGGGAAGTCCTTAGGCAGTTTTCCTAAATCTTTACAATTTCCTTCATGATTAGACAGTGGATTTTAGGCAAATGCCTATTTTTTTTTCCTTGGCATATACATGACTAAGATTTTGTACTACTACAGTGAACATTTCTTCGGTATCAAAAAACTTCTGGCCACTTTAGAGGACAATGCAGTTTGCGTAACTAAAACCAAGAAAATTTTGAATGACATGTTCAGAACAAGTTGGTGTACATCAAGTGTTTTTCACATTCATTGAAGATGCTATTACCGCTCTCAAAGTAGTAGGAAACCTATACAGTCGACCCCCCTATAACACGGTAGATACGTTCCGTTCTTTATGAATCCATTTTGTACGAGTCCTTGCCAATCACAGCCCGGCACGTATACACTTTACGGACTACGGCTGTTTGAAAGGTTTTCTTCCATAAAATTAATCGATTCCTAGACTAATTCGACTCACCATTTCCAAAATACGTATATTTTTTTTGGGAATAATCCGTATAAACTATGCTATAAACAAAAAAATTGTAGGATTACTTACCGAGTGTGCACCGTTCGACGTCGCCATTGCTTAAGCTTGTTTTTGTCGCGGATCAGCGCACCAACGGCGGCCGCAATTTCTGATAAGTTAATTTTCTGCGAAAACTTCGTTGAACTTTGGAGACATCATTAATATAAATAATTTTTATGGCCGTTGAATAAGAAATGTATAAAAATTACAGTACTGTATTAGACTTACGGTACCTAATTTACATACTGTACAGACGATAGTAAACTCAACTTACTCGCCTAAACTCTCCATAGCGTGGCGCTGGACGGCGGAAAGTATATATATAATTATAATAAAGTTACAATAAATTAAGTTAATATATAATTATGTATACAGTACCTAATTTATATATAATACTGTACAGACGATAGTTAACTTANTTTCGATCTGTATGATTACATCAAAAATTCTTTGTCAACTGATTACTAAATGTATTACTTTAAAATTATACCTGTTGTATATTTAATATTTCATTAATGTAATAAGTATTGCATCCCATTCTAAACTGTTATAACTGTAAATATGTATAAAATTATTCAACCAACCATTCGAATTCCTATTATGTAAGCAAAAATTTACTGTTTAATAATGTAACCAAAACTGTATTTATCCATTGTGTTCAATTATTATTTATTTATCCATTAATATGTTTGTATATACTTTGATGCAAAAGATATGCATCCTTCTGTTAATTGCATCTGTATGTAAAAATGTTACTGTTAATTATTTGTATTCCTCTGTAAATATTGTTTTAATAAAGGCGATGCGGGCGCCCGTGGGGTCCTTGGGGGCCTTATGGTTGCTTATTTCACACTTTTCTATTTTCCTTTATTTCCTCTTCTCTCTAACTCTTAGTTTCTTTTACTCTTCCTTCATATTCATACAGGGGTAAAGTCTGCACTAAATCGCAGATAGCCCCTCTTGTCTTTTATTAGAATAGAATAGAACTATAGGAACCCGTGTTATAGAGGGTCGACTGTATATGAACAAATCGATCTCCTCAACAGACCAAACTAGAAACTTTGCGATGCACCAGGTACTGCTGCAAAAAAAGTGAAGAAAGAGACTCGGATTAAAGTGCTCGTTTGTTGTGGCTAATATTTATACTGTCCGTTATCTTCAGAATATGTGGAATGCTCTTTCTCTGCGTATAAATTAATTCTCAGTGACAAACGTTGCAACTTTTTTTATTGAAAATTTAGAAAAAGTGCTTGTTTATGAAGCTAATTATGGGAAACAGAGCTAATAAAAAAATGTAAAGATAATTGTTTGTCTACTTTTGTGTTTGCATCATTCTGAATACGTGCATTTTTGTTTAAAATACATACGTTAAATAAAAAATTCATCATCCTGATAAGTAGGTTAATTGTTCATTGTGCAAATTTTGATCGCAAATGTGTAGATACGTGGCCGTTCTTACAATTAAATAAATATAAAAAAGTGTCTTACACGACCTTCGGACAACTATCCCGGTGAGTTCCTTATTGAATTAAAGGGTTTATAGGGGGTATTGTATATTGTAAAAACTAAATTAGATCTCACCTTAAAGATGCTAACCTAAATGATTATCTTAAAAACTGCAATCTACAATAAGTTGCTGAAAGTAGACTAATTCTTTATTGTGTGTGTATATACATACATTGACTCTTTTCCTTGTGGGCAATAAGAGGGCTTTTTCCATACTCATTTTGAGTTCATCCGGCCCACATCCTAGACAACCGGGTAGTGAGAGACGGGGCCCAACATATCCGGGACAAACCGACCATAAAAGCCTTAATCATCTCGGCCATCCGGCGCCATTGATATATATATTATACCATTATTACGTTGAAAAAATATGAAGATATTTCAATGATAAACGTTATTCATTTATTAGCGGATTTAAAAATTGTTGACATCGCATTATTTAGTTTAATTACAAAATTTTCAATATTATCAAAATATTAAATAATCAAAAAAACGTGAATTTAAACTAGAATATTTACTAACAGATTAAATGTATTAACTGTTCTTGTAATTGAGAGCATCAATTTGTTTAAGTCTTGTTGGTGGGCGTGTTGCCTGGTTTTAATACAGCTGTATAAGCAAGCCGGTGACATAGACAGACACAAGGCTTCTTCGATGATTCTTTTTGACGTCATCAGAAAAAGATCGTTGAACACGTGGATCTCTAACCGTTAGTCCTATTTCTAGTGTAGATCTGTGTTCTGGTCTTTGTTAAAATTTTTTCAAAGTTCGTTAATTAACAAACAAGTAACAACATAAAAAGATGTCCATGGTGAATTTATTCTACACTGACCGAGTAAACAATAGTAGGGAAGATAAACAGAAATCCAAAAAAAAGTTACAATGCATTACATTCTTGTTACGCATGCTACAAGGATAATGAGAGGAGAGAGTGTTTAGAAAACGTTACGTAATACTATGGTCTTAACATTAGGTAATATAATTTCTTTTTGTTTCTAAGTGTTGAATTATGAACTGTACTGTTATTACCATTGTTTTGCTACGTTGTACATGCAATTAATAAAATAATGTAAACGTAATGTAACGTAATGTATGTATTATTCCTTAATTCAATTAAGGAACTTGATCAACATAAGCGTTACGTAAGTTTTGGGATAGGTTTGTATGACAACTTCACGGGCCATTACAAGGTGGGGGTGGAATGATAGTTGAAAAATTTATGGACAATCCCATAAGAATATTGATAAATTGATAAATCTAGTATGATTATAACAATTAATAATTATTCTATATAATTATTTAAATTTTCAATCAATTTATTTTTCATATTTCATTTATTACAACAGTTTCATATTTGATTGGAAAACATGTATGATTACATATATTTGTAATTACTCTGTAGATTCTTCTGTACCTGAAGGCCCTTTTTCACTGTAAATATAAAAATTAATAATTTTAGAAAAAAGAAATAAATAAAATAATGTATAATTTATACGATATGATAAATATGAAGGCGAAGATCATATTATAACAGCTGATTTTTTTAAAGTATTCTTACGGCTTTCTTCCTTTTCCCCACTGGCTAATCCTCTATAAATATATATAATAAAAATATTGAAATAAAGTATATTTTCTAAATATTAAACAAACATATTTTCAGCTTAATAATATTTGTAATTAAAAAAAAAATTAAGAAAATTCTTACTCTCTTAAACTCGTTTACTGCCTCCTCACATTCTCCCTTCATCTAGGTAAGTACAGTATTGAACAATTTTTTATTTTTTTATACAATAAATTCAGAGAATAAATACAAGAAAAGTTAATTTAAATTGCATATAATTCCTTGTAATTTATATTTTAATATTTAGAAAAACAAAAATTTATTCTTTACCACAAATGATTTTATCTCCTCGAACGGTTTTCGATGATTCTAAAATAAAACTTAACATTATTTTAAGTTTCATTTATTTTATATTCTGATATTCCGCATTAAATTTTCATAAATTTAATGTAGAATAATTTTAAAATATTATAAATTAATCATAGAATTTTTAACATTTTCTAACTTTTAATAAAATATTAGCTGCTTTGCTTGGTCTTTTGAGGAGATGGATGATTAGTGATATTGGTTCGAAAGTGTGTGATAAAAACAATGGTTTTAGTAGATAAAATATACATTTATTATCCACAATACTTACAATAATAAAACTACAAAAAAAGAAAATGCGTGGGCTAATGTTAATTGGGGTGATCGCTATATATTTGTCCCATAGACTTAACATTGTACCTTTGCCACTTTGCCACGCCTGAACCATTGCACCCTTGTAAAATCTCTCTTCAGCTACATCATCTACAGCTTTAATTTGACACTTGAACTGTAATTTTAGCCCCAACCCTTTACTCAATATAACTGGATAAAACTGACAAACTGAACCCCTCTTTCAACTAATTAATATATAGGTAATGATAATTCTATAGGCCTATATTTATTATTTTATCTGAAATTACGTTGCGAAATTCATTTATAATAAGTAAATAAAAGCTTTTGATTATACTTTCTAAATTGAATTTGTAATACAGTATAATACAGACAGACTATACTGTTGCAGGATGAAATTAAGCAATATACAAATTAATGAACTGAATGATGAACATATTTATATTTTAATATTTATATAACACTTCGCAGATAGCTCTCCTTGTCTTTTATTAGAATAGAATAGAACTATAGGAACCCGTGTTATAGAGGGTCGACTGTATATGAACAAATCGATCTCCTCAACAGAGCAAACTAGAAACTTTGCGATGCACCAGGTACTGCTGCAAAAAAAGTGAAGAAAGAGACTCGGATTAAAGTGCTCGTTTGTTGTGGCTAATATTTATACTGTCCGTTATCTTCAGAATATGTGGAATGCTCTTTCTCTGCGTATAAATTAATTCTCAGTGACAAACGTTGCAACTTTTTTTATTGAAAATTTAGAAAAAGTGCTTGTTTATGAAGCTAATTATGGGAAACAGAGCTAATAAAAAAATGTAAAGATAATTGTTTGTCTACTTTTGTGTTTGCATCATTCTGAATACGTGCATTTTTGTTTAAAATACATACGTTAAATAAAAAATTCATCATCCTGATAAGTAGGTTAATTGTTCATTGTGCAAATTTTGATCGCAAATGTGTAGATACGTGGCCGTTCTTACAATTAAATAAATATAAAAAAGTGTCTTACACGACCTTCGGACAACTATCCCGGTGAGTTCCTTATTGAATTAAAGGGTTTATAGGGGGTATTGTATATTGTAAAAACTAAATTAGATCTCACCTTAAAGATGCTAACCTAAATGATTATCTTAAAAACTGCAATCTACAATAAGTTGCTGAAAGTAGACTAATTCTTTATTGTGTGTGTATATACATACATTGACTCTTTTCCTTGTGGGCAATAAGAGGGCTTTTTCCATACTCATTTTGAGTTCATCCGGCCCACATCCTAGACAACCGGGTAGTGAGAGACGGGGCCCAACATATCCGGGACAAACCGACCATAAAAGCCTTAATCATCTCGGCCATCCGGCGCCATTGATATATATATTATACCATTATTACGTTGAAAAAATATGAAGATATTTCAATGATAAACGTTATTCATTTATTAGCGGATTTAAAAATTGTTGACATCGCATTATTTAGTTTAATTACAAAATTTTCAATATTATCAAAATATTAAATAATCAAAAAAACGTGAATTTAAACTAGAATATTTACTAACAGATTAAATGTATTAACTGTTCTTGTAATTGAGAGCATCAATTTGTTTAAGTCTTGTTGGTGGGCGTGTTGCCTGGTTTTAATACAGCTGTATAAGCAAGCCGGTGACATAGACAGACACAAGGCTTCTTCGATGATTCTTTTTGACGTCATCAGAAAAAGATCGTTGAACACGTGGATCTCTAACCGTTAGTCCTATTTCTAGTGTAGATCTGTGTTCTGGTCTTTGTTAAAATTTTTTCAAAGTTCGTTAATTAACAAACAAGTAACAACATAAAAAGATGTCCATGGTGAATTTATTCTACACTGACCGAGTAAACAATAGTAGGGAAGATAAACAGAAATCCAAAAAAAAGTTACAATGCATTACATTCTTGTTACGCATGCTACAAGGATAATGAGAGGAGAGAGTGTTTAGAAAACGTTACGTAATACTATGGTCTTAACATTAGGTAATATAATTTCTTTTTGTTTCTAAGTGTTGAATTATGAACTGTACTGTTATTACCATTGTTTTGCTACGTTGTACATGCAATTAATAAAATAATGTAAACGTAATGTAACGTAATGTATGTATTATTCCTTAATTCAATTAAGGAACTTGATCAACATAAGCGTTACGTAAGTTTTGGGATAGGTTTGTATGACAACTTCACGGGCCATTACAAGGTGGGGGTGGAATGATAGTTGAAAAATTTATGGACAATCCCATAAGAATATTGATAAATTGATAAATCTAGTATGATTATAACAATTAATAATTATTCTATATAATTATTTAAATTTTCAATCAATTTATTTTTCATATTTCATTTATTACAACAGTTTCATATTTGATTGGAAAACATGTATGATTACATATATTTGTAATTACTCTGTAGATTCTTCTGTACCTGAAGGCCCTTTTTCACTGTAAATATAAAAATTAATAATTTTAGAAAAAAGAAATAAATAAAATAATGTATAATTTATACGATATGATAAATATGAAGGCGAAGATCATATTATAACAGCTGATTTTTTTAAAGTATTCTTACGGCTTTCTTCCTTTTCCCCACTGGCTAATCCTCTATAAATATATATAATAAAAATATTGAAATAAAGTATATTTTCTAAATATTAAACAAACATATTTTCAGCTTAATAATATTTGTAATTAAAAAAAAAATTAAGAAAATTCTTACTCTCTTAAACTCGTTTACTGCCTCCTCACATTCTCCCTTCATCTAGGTAAGTACAGTATTGAACAATTTTTTATTTTTTTATACAATAAATTCAGAGAATAAATACAAGAAAAGTTAATTTAAATTGCATATAATTCCTTGTAATTTATATTTTAATATTTAGAAAAACAAAAATTTATTCTTTACCACAAATGATTTTATCTCCTCGAACGGTTTTCGATGATTCTAAAATAAAACTTAACATTATTTTAAGTTTCATTTATTTTATATTCTGATATTCCGCATTAAATTTTCATAAATTTAATGTAGAATAATTTTAAAATATTATAAATTAATCATAGAATTTTTAACATTTTCTAACTTTTAATAAAATATTAGCTGCTTTGCTTGGTCTTTTGAGGAGATGGATGATTAGTGATATTGGTTCGAAAGTGTGTGATAAAAACAATGGTTTTAGTAGATAAAATATACATTTATTATCCACAATACTTACAATAATAAAACTACAAAAAAAGAAAATGCGTGGGCTAATGTTAATTGGGGTGATCGCTATATATTTGTCCCATAGACTTAACATTGTACCTTTGCCACTTTGCCACGCCTGAACCATTGCACCCTTGTAAAATCTCTCTTCAGCTACATCATCTACAGCTTTAATTTGACACTTGAACTGTAATTTTAGCCCCAACCCTTTACTCAATATAACTGGATAAAACTGACAAACTGAACCCCTCTTTCAACTAATTAATATATAGGTAATGATAATTCTATAGGCCTATATTTATTATTTTATCTGAAATTACGTTGCGAAATTCATTTATAATAAGTAAATAAAAGCTTTTGATTATACTTTCTAAATTGAATTTGTAATACAGTATAATACAGACAGACTATACTGTTGCAGGATGAAATTAAGCAATATACAAATTAATGAACTGAATGATGAACATATTTATATTTTAATATTTATATAACACTTTAATATATAGAAACGAAAATTTATTTTTACCTCACATTTTTTGCCTGGCTGATTTTCCCCTTCACGTTTCTGAAATGAAATTTAATATTACTTTATGATATTCTATTGTAAAAATTTAATTGTTTTAAATGTATTTTAACTTATTATACTAAGTAAGTATAAGCCACATACACATAGATTTAATTATATACAGATATATTAATTTCTTTCAGAAAGTTTACATTTGTATTCATAAAAGAATAAATTTATATCATAATAAAAACATAATTAAATAAATTAAAGTTCTTTAATTAAATAATAATTAAGTCTTTTTAGATATAATAATTAAAAAAATGAGTGATTTATGTTTACCTTGAGTTAGCATAAATTGGAAATAAAGATTTGTTAGTTCAAACAGTTATTTATTTTATAAAATAGTTAGACATTTTATGAAAAAAAGTGAAATTTTTTATGAATAATTTCATAAAATTTAAAAATATTTACGTTTTTATCCTTCATACAATTTTTAAATTTTTCCCACTTTTCCTGTAAATACAATTTTAAGTGTTTAAAGTTTTAAAAGTTAATTTTATCTCTTTCTTATTTATAAAATTATTTTACCTCATCAGTTACTTTACTTGCATCTTGACAGCATTGATTAATTTTTTCACCCTAAAAATATTAATTGTAGAAATAAATTACAGTATACTATTTACAATAAATATTTGGTAAATAATTCATTCAAAAATTTTTATTTACTGGGCTGCAATTTGAAAAAAAAAAACATTGTCTGTTCGTCTTTCCTTAATTTCGAGAACGGTGCTAGATAAATGAAAACCAAGAGCATATGTGGAAAGTTTAGATACATGAGGCCCCAATTAACTATATAAAAACTTCCGATATAAATAGGAAGTCACGTTATTTCAATTCAAAAATTTCTTCCTAAAAGGAGCTAGATAGATGACCGGCATGGTTCTATTGCTAACAGGAAAAGTATGATTTACAGGGGGCAAGACTCCAAATTTGAGGTGGAGAGCGTATAATTTAAATTAAATCATTTTTGATTTTCTTTTTGAAACCGTGTCCTGTTTTATATTTGTGGCGTAGTAAACACTAGTATTGTGTTTTATTCCAAAGACACATGGCAAATTTTCCATCAAATTCCTTTATTAGTTGATACGGTACATTGTTTTGTACCGTCTTTGGTAAACACTAGTATTGTGTCTTTGGAATAAAACACAATACTAGTGTTTACTACGTCACAAATTAAATTAAATAAATTTAAAAAATATGATTAATTTAAAAATTGCAGCCCGGCATTGTGACTGTTCGTTTTTTTTAAATAAATAACTGTTATTAAATTAAAACAATATTAAAAATTGAATTTCTTAAATTGATTCTACTTCTCATACCTTAATTTCCATCATTTTTTCTGAAAAAAATACGAAATTTTAATGATTATATTAAAAAACGTTAATAAATATAATATTTTAAGTATATTAAATTTAATTGTATAATTGTATTTGTATATTAATGTTTTTTTTTAATATTTAATGTTTAAATTTAGCAAATACATTTTATAAAATGAAAAATATATATATGTGAGGGCCCAAACGGGGTCCGAAAGCAGGCCATTAACGACTTTTTAAATGAGTCAAGTTTCATAGTGCGAAAGAGCGAACTTAAAGATCGGATTTAAACAATGAACCTTTTGTCTTGTTAAAAGATTTTAAACAATAGATAGAGTACAGTCGAAGAAAACGAGGTTGGAGAGGAGTCGTGTTCCGACGCGACGTTGACCTCTCCCGCGCCCTTCCTGGAGTTTCGAATTGTCACCATGTAACGAGGAGAGACCAATGGAGAGGCGACCGCGTTGGAAAAATCGATAAAACCGCGTTTTCGGGAACTTTACGGGGTCTTGGGTTTTGGTGTGTAGTGCTCACCTGTTGGGATTTGGTGCTCCCGACCGAGACACAACGAAGGCTCTTTCGACGACTTAGGAACTGGTTTCGCCAACCCGTCCACTCCAGAATCGCCGAGGNAATACCTTCAATGTTAGTAATAATTAGTTTATCTAATATGTTAATCACGCGTTGCCGGTTAGCTGGAAAGCTAATTTATCCCTTTATAATAATAGTAATTACTAATAATAATAATTCTAGCTGAACAAGTCGTAGTGTCCCAGCGCTAAACTGTCAATAGATTTATATTAGAAAATGGAATTAAGTCTGTGTTTAAAAATGATTTTTTTATACAGGTTCTATGTTGAAATAAATCTAAAATTTTATCTTGACTTTTTACATAACTGAATACGATATCTGGCTATGTAAGTAAGTTTATGAATAATTAAGACCTTTATTATATAAAGGGATGAAAAGGATATAAAACTCATTCTAAACTATGGAAACAAACTTTAGTAGTGGATTCCTAAAAGGACAAAGAACAAAAAAAAAAATGGTTCCATTAATTAACATATGCCCAGAAACGCACCAGATATGGATGACACCGCTGGGTATCGTCACATCGTATCTGCTTATCAGCAATCATAGCCATGAAAGGGGAAATATGTAGAAAGTTGTCTGCTGAACAGATCCATGGTTTGTGTGTTGTAAGAGTGATTGTTCATTATTCCCATCGGGAACAGGCGGGCGTGATATTCACATACAGAAAAGTGAGTGGGAATGGTCGGTTATACCACGAAGTGATGTGTGATCACTTGAAAGTGTCCTCCAGGATTCTCAGTGCATTATCTATTACGATTCTACCCGAGGTATGTATGCCATACTGTTGTGTGTTGTCTTGTGTGCTGAGTTCATGACTCTGGTGGTTCAGTACTAATGCATTTCCATAGAAATATTAATAGGACCAAATGTTTTTTGTCCTGCCAGGAATCAACTCCTGAAATTTATCCTTATAGTTTGGAACCAACTTGTATATAGGATTGTTCTGATTTGAACAAATTTTAAGTGAATAATACTGGTTTTTTTTTCCTCAATTAAAACAATTACGAAAATAAAACAGGCTTTAAAAAAATACTTTCCATAATTTACAACCGTTAATGTAAAAATAAAATTTTCACAATTAAAGTTCTTACCGTGGCATTTTTTAAATATTGGACGTAGATCTTCAGGCTGAAATTTTCAATTCAATTACAACAACAAATTAAGAACATTTTTAAAACGAAAAAAATTTAAGAAAAATAAAAATTTACTTTTGGGCAGTTACCAGAAGCAAGCTGGAAAAAAAATTTTAATTTCTTTGTAATTAAGTAGTTTATTTTTGAAAAATTTTAAATAGTTTTATACCTCCTCCGACTTAGAAAGTACATCTTCTATTTCTTCCTAAAAAATTAATCATCATTCTTATAAATTCCACTTACTTAAAAATTAATAATTTTATAATAAATATTTCGAAATTTAATAATATTATTAGAAAATTTTCAATAGTCTTACTCTAGTTATTCCGCATCTCTGGAAATGAAAGCTATTTTTAGTCTTTTTAAACGAATATTTAATACAAAAATATATATTAATTACTTTAAAAATTTCGAAACTCTTACTTCATTCATCTTTATAAAACAATCCATGTAAGCCTATAATTTTTTTTAAAATAATCCAATTAGTATTAAGTTTACTAAATTTTTCACTGTATTAAATAGTAAAGTAGTAATAAAACTACTGACGTCTTTAAAATTTCCGGTTTCTCCTGCTTCTTTCGCTTCTTTACAACAAATCATCCACGGTCCTTTACCCTTAATATTTGACAATGACAAATTAATCATTCTTACTTTCCCAGCTGTTATATATATATATATATGAAGGAAACTATGCGCATTTTTCCTCTACAATCCTTTATTATATCGGTCTTATGCACGACGGATTAAAGGACTTCAAATAAATGTGAATACTTACTCGACGTCTCCCTCCATTTTCAGGACGTCTTCCATCATCTTCTGAAAAAAAATTAAATATTTTAGTTATTTTTATTAGGATAATAAAATAATTTAATAAAACTAAACTTAAATGTATTAATTTACCTTGAGTATTGACGACATTGAAGAAAAGAAATGTCACAATGGCAATAGTGACTACGTACGATGTCATGCTATTTCAATGTCTCCAATGAAAACTGTGAAGAAAATACATCGGTAGATCCCTTTTTTATATAGTAAAATGAAAATATTGCGTCATTGTAAGAAACACACAACCTTTTGTACAATTATTTCATTTATTTCCTATTTAATTTGATTATTTGTTCAATTTTGTTTGATGAACCTGCTACTTTATATTTAGAGCTTTTGTCTTTTGTTTAAAAGTTTGATAAGGTAATATACTGAAAATTGTATTATAAAATAAATAAAAAAATATATTAAATAAATAAAATTTGCATAAATAAGTTTATAATTATTTTAAAAATTTTATCTAAATTTAAGAAGTTTTTTTTTTTGTTTTTATATTAGCATGAAAACAGCTGATTAAACAGTAGTTAGTTTTTCCTCTTAAGTAGGAAAATTCCTTCTTCGTAATGAGTTTCTGCACGATTTCAATTACATCATAATGGAAAAATTTTATAAATTTTTCAAGATTTATTTATCCTGCTTCTATTTTCAGATTAAAATTTAAATATTTTTACTTATAAATACGCATGCTATATAATTTCATATATCTAAAATAATTTTTTAATTCTATATAAAATTGGCACATTCTTGTGTGAACATCTTCCAAATAATTTACGTAAACTATCTCTTGTCATTGGAAAAAACCCTTCATAATGCAATTTACTGTTTGAAGACTTTAGAACATTCTCATCATATTCTACTCTATATAATTTTTCTTTTTATTATACAAGGTATAATAAATTTTCTTCTAATTTGTCTTCGAACTAGGTTACATACTCACACAGTAGCGTAATAAAGCACGTATTGTTATTAGACACTAGTTCTAGCTACGCGGTAATTAATTGTTTTTGAATATCTCCTTTATAACTGTGACAAATAGATCCATAAATAAAATAATTATTCTAATTTACTATATTGAGCACTTGTTTAAGATCTGGCAATAGATAATAAGACAATAAGATCTTGGTTTAAGATCTTTTCTTTTGTAATTTGCCACTGTTTGCTTCTACATTAATCTTAATAGACTCAATCCCCCTAAAGGTTTAAAGTTTTTTGGTGGTTAAAGGTCGAAGGATTGGGGAAAGAGTGGGGCCAGACTTAATGACGATTTTACTCATTATTAGAATTTACAATTTTTTTTTATAAAACTCATCCCTGTCCTCAAAATTAAGCTTTTTGCTATTTTATAATAATTAGTGAAATATTTTATATTTTTTATTAAAAACTTAACTTTCCCAGCAACATTTGATCGAGCCAACTTTTGAGCAAGTCGTTGCTGGACTTTTTCATGGATTTTTTTTATGGGCTATTCGATGCATAATAAATTCTGATAAAAATGGAGAATGAAAATAACTTGATCCAGAAAGTCCAGATTAAGTCCACATTAAATATAAAATATTTTCTCTATTGANGTTGTAAGAACGATTTATGTATAGTATTAAACGGTTTTATATGGTAAACCTGTCTCGGAGAGTCATTCCACGCCCACACGACAGTATTGACCGCTCGGCTGTCGAAAACACCTCACCCCTAATCGGCTGGCCTCACATATATATAAATGTATACAAGCCTATATACCGTAGTAAATATATTTTATTATTTAATTTGGAGTATATTCTACAAGAGAATGAATATCTTTTTTAAAACAGTACTGATATAAAATTTGTATCTATCTGCTCGGGAATATCTACTGATACTTTCATATCAGGCCTGAATGGACAAGGCAGTTAGGAGTCATTCCAGGCAGACTTACCGCTCTGGGGAATCCGGAATTGAATCCGGGTGGACTATCCCAGAATTTTTCGTGGGTAATCCGTCTCGGATAAATTGGTCCTCTCACCACTCGACCCCTCCCATTGTTGACCTTGCTGAATTCACTATGGATAAAAGACCCTCTTAGTGCCTTTTATCCATACTCATTGCGAAAAAGTCCAGTAATCCGGTATTATATGTGCCGGATTAACAAATTTCTACCGTAGTAAAAGAATTATTAACATCTTTTTCTCTAATATTTTGAGTTTTCGTGTTGTCAAAATAAAGATGTTATTCGATAATATGAAAAACTTGAAATTTATGATTGTCCATTAAAGATAATGGGATAAAGTATAGATTTCTCATTGCATATACTTACAGCAGATTCCATTATATTATTATATTATTTTGTAATAATCATGCAACGAATTAATTTGTTAGAATTTATCAACACGAAAAACTCATCAAACAGCCTTCTTTCTCTCGAGGGAAGTCATATATCCTACTTGTAACATACAATCCATAGGTATATCTAATAACAACGCAGGAAACACTACATGTAAGTGATAAAAATTTAAAGACAATATAGAAAAAAAAACAATGAAGTCATTGGAAAAGGTAACCTTTCGAGGATAAGAACAGAACTGAAGTTTAAATGGCTATTGATATCTTTCTATGACCATCTGGAAAAATTAGGATGAATTATTGATAAATAATATAGTTCACTTACAAAAACAAAAAGAAATTTGAGCATTCGAGACCCGAAACAACAACCATAACCCCACAACACTAATTGGAACGTTGCTGGAAACTGGGACACAATAGTAATAATAAAATATAATTCCTTTTAATAATAAATAATTAATTGGAATGTCATTCATTAATATATAAGAAGATGAAAATGTTGCTTTAAATTACTGAATTATTTATTTCAATCATTTATTTCCTGTTTATTGATACCTTTTAATGAACCCGCTGCTTTATTTAAATTACGCTGGGATCGAACGACAGTGAGATTTTTTTTATTTTATTAAATAATTGAAGCAAAACTGATATTACACTTTTTATATGAAGCGTAAAAAGGGTAAAATTTATTATTTAACCGTTTTATTATAGTTTTAATTCAATTATCTCGACGACCATTTTTTTTTCTCATGTTGTTTGGGTTATCGCATTTTACTTCACCCGCTTATCAATAGACTCTTCCTTTGCGCAATTTAGCAATTATGCCAATTAATGCGCTGTTCATCCTGTAATAATTAGATCTGTCGAGTAACATAAATCTATTTTGTAAGCTTCTTAGTGGAATTGAAGGACATAGAGCAGTTATAGTTTAATGATTAAAGCATAACCCGACGTTTCTCATTGATTTTATAGGTGAGTTTTCCTCTTTTTCTCCCTCGCATGATCATTTATATCGAAATTTTTACCAAAAGATGAGATTTAATAAAGTTTTAATTAGTCTAGAATACAAATTTTAAAGGAGACGAATTTAAATTAATTGGAAAATTTACTTAATAATAAACGTTCTATCCATAACTAATAAATGCTCTTATTCGTGTTTAGCTTGATCAGTTCTTATGATTTTTATATTATTACTGAAAGTTTGCAAAATAACAACAAAGTTTTAATCATAATAAAACTTTCTTTTATCTAATTTACCGAGTTTTTAAATGGTTATACTTTGTTTAACAATTATCTAAAGCCTGCCGTAGAAGTAGAGGGATTATTATATCTTTTCCCTCTCCGCGAGTGCTTAATGTCGTCGAAATTTAGCTAATTATTATTGTCTCTCTCAAATTTATACTTAAATTCTTATCAACATTATTCCAATATTTCAAATTGGTGAATCGCCTTTATATTATTCTGCTATATAAACTTGGCAGAGAATTTCTTGGATTAATTCTCCACCATCTTTTGATTTTAGACTTAAAATCAGATAGGACCGTATTGCTACTTTTTAAAAATACCTTCAATGTTAGTAATAATTAGTTTATCTAATATGTTAATCACGCGTTGCCGGTTAGCTGGAAAGCTAATTTATCCCTTTATAATAATAGTAATTACTAATAATAATAATTCTAGCTGAACAAGTCGTAGTGTCCCAGCGCTAAACTGTCAATAGATTTATATTAGAAAATGGAATTAAGTCTGTGTTTAAAAATGATTTTTTTATACAGGTTCTATGTTGAAATAAATCTAAAATTTTATCTTGACTTTTTACATAACTGAATACGATATCTGGCTATGTAAGTAAGTTTATGAATAATTAAGACCTTTATTATATAAAGGGATGAAAAGGATATAAAACTCATTCTAAACTATGGAAACAAACTTTAGTAGTGGATTCCTAAAAGGACAAAGAACAAAAAAAAAAAAAATGGTTCCATTAATTAACATATGCCCAGAAACGCACCAGATATGGATGACACCGCTGGGTATCGTCACATCGTATCTGCTTATCAGCAATCATAGCCATGAAAGGGGAAATATGTAGAAAGTTGTCTGCTGAACAGATCCATGGTTTGTGTGTTGTAAGAGTGATTGTTCATTATTCCCATCGGGAACAGGCGGGCGTGATATTCACATACAGAAAAGTGAGTGGGAATGGTCGGTTATACCACGAAGTGATGTGTGATCACTTGAAAGTGTCCTCCAGGATTCTCAGTGCATTATCTATTACGATTCTACCCGAGGTATGTATGCCATACTGTTGTGTGTTGTCTTGTGTGCTGAGTTCATGACTCTGGTGGTTCAGTACTAATGCATTTCCATAGAAATATTAATAGGACCAAATGTTTTTTGTCCTGCCAGGAATCAACTCCTGAAATTTATCCTTATAGTTTGGAACCAACTTGTATATAGGATTGTTCTGATTTGAACAAATTTTAAGTGAATAATACTGGTTTTTTTTTCCTCAATTAAAACAATTACGAAAATAAAACAGGCTTTAAAAAAATACTTTCCATAATTTACAACCGTTAATGTAAAAATAAAATTTTCACAATTAAAGTTCTTACCGTGGCATTTTTTAAATATTGGACGTAGATCTTCAGGCTGAAATTTTCAATTCAATTACAACAACAAATTAAGAACATTTTTAAAACGAAAAAAATTTAAGAAAAATAAAAATTTACTTTTGGGCAGTTACCAGAAGCAAGCTGGAAAAAAAATAATTTTTTTAATTTCTTTGTAAATAAGTAGTTTATTTTTGAAAAATTTTAAATAGTTTTATACCTCCTCCGACTTAGAAAGTACATCTTCTATTTCTTCCTAAAAAATTAATCATCATTCTTATAAATTCCACTTACTTAAAAATTAATAATTTTATAATAAATATTTCGAAATTTAATAATATTATTAGAAAATTTTCAATAGTCTTACTCTAGTTATTCCGCATCTCTGGAAATGAAAGCTATTTTTAGTCTTTTTAAACGAATATTTAATACAAAAATATATATTAATTACTTTAAAAATTTCGAAACTCTTACTTCATTCATCTTTATAAAACAATCCATGTAAGCCTATAATTTTTTTTAAAATAATCCAATTAGTATTAAGTTTACTAAATTTTTCACTGTATTAAATAGTAAAGTAGTAATAAAACTACTGACGTCTTTAAAATTTCCGGTTTCTCCTGCTTCTTTCGCTTCTTTACAACAAATCATCCACGGTCCTTTACCCTTAATATTTGACAATGACAAATTAATCATTCTTACTTTCCCAGCTGTTATATATATATATATGAAGGAAACTATGCGCATTTTTCCTCTACAATCCTTTATTATATCGGTCTTATGCACGACGGATTAAAGGACTTCAAATAAATGTGAATACTTACTCGACGTCTCCCTCCATTTTCAGGACGTCTTCCATCATCTTCTGAAAAAAAATTAAATATTTTAGTTATTTTTATTAGGATAATAAAATAATTTAATAAAACTAAACTTAAATGTATTAATTTACCTTGAGTATTGACGACATTGAAGAAAAGAAATGTCACAATGGCAATAGTGACTACGTACGATGTCATGCTATTTCAATGTCTCCAATGAAAACTGTGAAGAAAATACATCGGTAGATCCCTTTTTTATATAGTAAAATGAAAATATTGCGTCATTGTAAGAAACACACAACCTTTTGTACAATTATTTCATTTATTTCCTATTTAATTTGATTATTTGTTCAATTTTGTTTGATGAACCTGCTACTTTATATTTAGAGCTTTTGTCTTTTGTTTAAAAGTTTGATAAGGTAATATACTGAAAATTGTATTATAAAATAAATAAAAAAATATATTAAATAAATAAAATTTGCATAAATAAGTTTATAATTATTTTAAAAATTTTATCTAATTTTATCTAAATTTAAGAAGTTTTTTTTTTTTGTTTTTATATTAGCATGAAAACAGCTGATTAAACAGTAGTTAGTTTTTCCTCTTAAGTAGGAAAATTCCTTCTTCGTAATGAGTTTCTGCACGATTTCAATTACATCATAATGGAAAAATTTTATAAATTTTTCAAGATTTATTTATCCTGCTTCTATTTTCAGATTAAAATTTAAATATTTTTACTTATAAATACGCATGCTATATAATTTCATATATCTAAAATAATTTTTTAATTCTATATAAAATTGGCACATTCTTGTGTGAACATCTTCCAAATAATTTACGTAAACTATCTCTTGTCATTGGAAAAAACCCTTCATAATGCAATTTACTGTTTGAAGACTTTAGAACATTCTCATCATATTCTACTCTATATAATTTTTCTTTTTATTATACAAGGTATAATAAATTTTCTTCTAATTTGTCTTCGAACTAGGTTACATACTCACACAGTAGCGTAATAAAGCACGTATTGTTATTAGACACTAGTTCTAGCTACGCGGTAATTAATTGTTTTTGAATATCTCCTTTATAACTGTGACAAATAGATCCATAAATAAAATAATTATTCTAATTTACTATATTGAGCACTTGTTTAAGATCTGGCAATAGATAATAAGACAATAAGATCTTGGTTTAAGATTTTTTTTTTTGTAATTTGCCACTGTTTGCTTCTACATTAATCTTAATAGACTTAATCCCCCTAAAGGTTTAAAGTTTTTTGGTGGTTAAAGGTCGAAGGATTGGGGAAAGAGTGGGGCCAGACTTAATGACGATTTTACTCATTATTAGAATTTACAATTTTTTTTATAAAACTCATCCCTGTCCTCAAAATTAAGCTTTTTGCTATTTTATAATAATTAATGAAATATTTTATATTTTTTATTAAAAACTTAACTTTCCCAGCAACATTTGATCGAGCCAACTTTTGAGCAAGTCGTTGCTGGACTTTTTCATGGATTTTTTTTATGGGCTATTCGATGCATAATAAATTCTGATAAAAATGGAGAATGAAAATAACTTGATCCAGAAAGTCCAGATTAAGTCCACATTAAATATAAAATATTTTCTCTATTGAGTAAAATAACAGCTGAGAAAATAATATAAAAATTTACTGAATTTCTATTGACCATTTTTTTTTTTTTTTTTATTTAAGAAAATGTTAGCTTTTCCCGTGAGCTTGACTTCTTTTTATTAAAATAAAACATTTATTGAGTAGGGAAGAAAAATTTTCTGGTTTACTTCATAAAGAAATAATGCATAATAATCTTCCTTTTTTTCTATATTGAAAAATACAGAAAATTGGCATTCTTACAACTTGTATGTAGTTGAAATTACAAGTCGACCCCCCTATAACACTGCTGATTATTCCGTTTTATATGAATTCCATGTTGTACAAGTCACTTAGATTTTACAAATACGTGAGCCTTTCACGGCCCGGCACACGTATTTATAAAATCTAAGTGACTCATACAACATGGAATTCATATAAAACGGAATAATAAACAGTGTTATGGGGGGTCGACTGTATATGAAAATCTATATTGTGAATATTATATGATAGATATTATTAAATTACTAATGCAAAAAGAGTGATTCACAATAGATAATGTCAATATATAGATTCTAGAAACTATATAGGTTTATTTCGGATTAAAAAAAAAGAAAAGCTTTCTGGAAATGCCATTTACTGATAATATTATATTATAATTTCTAATAAATTTCAACTTCGTTTTATGATTTTGATAGTTTTCGTATTACACAACACTAAATATTGTGAAAGAAATGTTACCGTTTCTACAGTTTACATTTTATACAGTTTTATATTATACAAGAAAAGGACATTCACGCACTTATTCACGTGTATTATGAATACAAGAGGGTGGATCTCCCATTCTTATCTAATATATGAAAAGGTTGTTAAAATTAAAGTTTAAATTTTATTTGTTCACTAATTTTTTTTTACTATCAAAAATTTCTGGAAATGAGATGATAAAGTTATTCTTAAAATCTAGAATATAGTCTAAAATTACATTTCTAATTAACTATAATATTAATAGAATTAAAGAGTAAAATCTCCTATACATAGATGTTTGATAGATCAAACAATTCAATGATTCTTATCTGTAATCTTAGAGGTATTGTTGTTTGTTATCGATATTGTAACAATCGACAGAACATTTTTTAATACATGAACATTTAATTTATATCTAACATAAAATATAAGAATTTTCGTAAGCAGAAATAAAAACAATTTGTCAATTGAATGAGGTTAACAAATTTTTTAATATTAGTGATTTATTGTAATAGATTAAGACAATTTTTAATGTCGTTGAATAATTTCGAAATAGAGAAATTACTAAATATTAATTTTTTTTTTTATATCATTTGGCGTGTCAATGAATTTTTGTCGGTATTACTTATTTTTTTCTTTTGCTCTCATTCTATAAAACTAATGGTATAGTTACAGTAGCCGATTATCCAATAGGCCGATTATCGAGGCCCTAGCCGCTTCATCGTCTGGAGGGCCTCAAATTACATAGTAAAAAGATGCCTGTAAAATGTAGTAAACATTTTAAGCTTTTAAAACGGTTGAAAAATGTATTGTATTTTTTTTTATGTGAAAAGAAGTTCACATAAAGCCTTCTTTTTATAGAACAAAATCGTGCCTAGGGCCTCAAATGAAGCCCTGTGCTTAAGAAAGAAATTTTTTTCAAATGGTTAATTTTGCAATTGGTCATTTTGAATAGAAATTTAAATAATTAAAATTTGTTTTTTTTTTTTTAATTGTCACTGCTTTGTATTAATTTTTTTTCATTTCTATTAACATATTTGAAGTTCTACGTATCTTGGCGACAATTCTTCCGTTATGTCAAGGAGGACTGATGTTATTATAATTGGTGGTGGATTAAGTGGTAAATATAGTGTATATATTCTTGTATATTTATATATAATTTTTTCCTCTGTGGAAGCAATTTTATATATAGTATTAAAATGTAGTAATCTCCTAAGAAATTTAATGAAATGCTTACAATTTATGTATGAGAATACTTTACATATATTTTTTATGCGGAAAATTAAAATATAGATTCTATAAATGTAAATTTTGCACAACGTTTCCAAAATTTTATATTTAGATTAATATATCCAAAATATATGCTGAAAATACCATATTTTCATCAAAATTTAACTTTATTCGAGGTTCCTCATCTGAGATGTCCAGGCTGGCAAAGCATACTTAGGCATAGGTGCTTCGTACTATGCGTAACATTTCAAATATTGCATATATTCTTATTTTCTTTGGTTTAAATAATCAATATTGATTTTATTTAACAGGTTTATCTGCTGCAAAATGGCTTCATCAATCGGATATAGCTGTCTTAGTATTAGAAGCAAGAGATCGTGTCGGTGGAAGAACTTTAACTAAAAAAGTAAGTGAAAAAAATCATTTAAAAACATTAAATTATTTTACGTTTTAACAATAGATTCACTGTTTTTTTACTTTAACTCCTTACAAACTATTACTTTTATATATTTAAAAAGTTTTATGTATTTTTAGAGTCCAGATGTTGGTTACGTGGATTTAGGAGGATCATACGTTGGCCCCACGCAAGATCATCTCTTTAGGTTAACAAAGGAATTGTGTATCGATAATTATAAAATAGAAGAGAACGAAGATGTTGTATATTTTTCTCAAGTCAGTATAGCCTGCAAAATATTCATACATTTTAATACTACAATTTCTATATCTGTATTTATCTATAAATTATTTTTATTTAAAGGGGAAGAGATATCTTCACAAAACCACTGGTTCTATACCATTTAGAAATCCTTTTGTCCATTTAGACATTAATAATTTTACCAGGACTATTGATGAAATGGGAAAAGAGGTGTATATATTTTCTTAATTTGTTTCAATCTATTATTCTAGTACGATAGTTTTTCTTTGGTAACTTGAAATAGGTTCCAGCAGATGAACCGTGGAAGGCACCTCATGCTGAAGAATGGGATACGATGACTTACCAAACCTTTATGGATGAAACGTGTTATACAGAGTAAGAGGAAATTACTTGTTTAATTAAATATTGTTAAAATTTTATATACAAACTATAAATTATTAAAACTCAGCCCAAACTTTAGAAATCCCTTAACTCTAACGAAGCACCTCCAAGTAGTTTGAACATCTGTTCTTCTTCTAGTTTCAATTAGGAGTTGGTTTTTAATTGGATAACTGTTTGTTTACATTCCAAATTAACTTCATTCTGCGTAAAATAGCGAAGCAAGGTAACTTTTTAATTTTGGGATAGGCGGGTTATAGAACAGGTTGCGTGTTTTAACCTGTGTGTGGAATTGGTAGTCTGCTGGCTGTACACACATATGGGTTTAAACGTTACCTAACGTTTTCGTCCGCTATATATATAAAATATATTCCATTCTAGTAAATTAGCACAATATTACTTAGGTAACAGCACTATGCTTAGCTGCTTCTCTATATAAGTCATACACTAAACACTATCCTTGATTTCCAGACCAATATTGGCTGGCTTAGCATACACTTCCGACATATTTGATATGAATGAAATGATTAGTTATTACTATAGAAGATTGTACAAATGTTATAACAATAGTTATATTTTGTAAAAGTACATAAATAACTTAGATAAAATGAACTAATTTCTCAATTTAAAAATTTTTCTTAATTTAGACAATGCCGGGCAGTAGCGAAAGCTTGTATCGAAGAACCATTAGCTTCCTCACCTTACGAAAGTTCATTTTTATGGATGTTATGGTTCACTAAATTATGCCAAGGAATGAAATCAATGATGAGTGTTACGAACGGAGGACAAGTTAATATATTTATTATTGCTTTACTTATACTTAAGTTTGTTTTTTTTTTTTAATTTTAATCATTGATTTTTCACAGGAACGAAAATTTATCGGTGGAAGTCAACAAATAAGTGAACGTATTGCAGAGCGTTTAGGGAGTAAGTTGATTTAATATGATTTAAGTTTTCTATATAATTATCAAAATCAACGTCTTTTTTTAGATTGCGTGTTGTTAAATTCACCTGTCGTTGAAATTACTCAATCAGAAAAAGAAGTTACTGTAAAAACTCTGAATGGAAAGACTTATGATGTAAATAAACTTTTTTAGAATTAACTTAATGTAAAAATTCTTTTCAAAAATTAACCTTTTTTTAATGGTTTTTAGGCAAATTATATAATTATGGCAATACCTCTACCGTTACAAATGAAAATACACTACAATCCTCCTCTTTCCGCTCATAGAAATCAATTAATTCAAAGATGCCCTATGGGTTCAGTAATGAAATGCATTTTATACTATCAAACTGAATTCTGGAAAAAGCATGGTAAGAACTTTGATAGTTTACCTCATAGCTTTGTTTATTCTCAATAGTAACTACTGAGAGCAAACCTACTTAAATCTAAAGCGAATTTAAGTATAAAAAGTAATTTTGTTCTTGAATTTTTTCTTCAGGTTTCTGTGGTACATCATTAATAGACGTTGACGATGAAAATCCTATATCTTCCACATATAATGATACCAAACCAGATGGAAGTTATCCTGCTATTGTTGGGTAAATAAAACGTTCCGTTTCTATACAAATTATTTCTGCGGTTAGGTTAATAATAATCTAATTAGGAATCGTTAGCAATTCCTTATTGTTGGGAAATTGAGATACTCTCCTTTTCGTTATTTTCACAGGGAACTGTTTCAAAGTATGTTAAGAGTTTTGAGTGTATTAGATACCTAGATCCCCTCTTCCTATTTTGGGGGTTTGATGTTTAAATACCGTCTAATGTAAAATAAATATTTTCAGTATTTTGAGACGTAAACTATAATCTTACCATAGTTTGGATGGCTTTTCTTCAGGAAACTAGCAAAAAAACCTATATATTCAATGATTCTCGAGTCATTGTGAGTGGAATAGTCTGGAGTTTTTGTAGTGAAAAACCAAATGATCCTCTCATTTACTGATGAGATCGTTTTCGCAAAAATTTACTTTCTCCGCTCATCTGTCTGACCATGGGGAATGTAAAACGACTGAGTGTTTGCAAATACAATGTTTTTGTTTTTCCTTCCATAAACTATGAAATTAATCGAGCAGATTCCAGTAGTAACAGATTCGAATTTTCTGTGTAAAGTTTTTTTATGCGCAATGAAAGATCTGCTCCTCAACTTCTCAACTTCGAGTCGTAATGAATAAATTAATATTAATTACAAATTTATATTCTCTTAACGAAACTTTTATTCAGATTTGTCTTGGCTGATCAAGTACGTAAAGTAGCACATCTTACTCAAGAAGAAAGGAAAGATATATTCAGAAAATGCTTATGTAATGTCTTCGGACTAGAGGAATTTTTAAAGGTAACAATTTTATTTATTCTAAGTAATACATATATAACTTTGTTGTTGGATTTTAATAAATTTATAAAATTTTTTATTATTAGCCAATTCATTATGAAGAATATAATTGGATGTCAGAACAATTTTCTGGTGGATGTTTTACAGCCATGTTTCCTCCTGGATTTTTAACCAGATATGGAGAGTTAGTAATTGATATATAAGAATAGTGATTAAAAAAACAACAAACTTTATCTTGCATTTCTTTCTTTTACATGCAGATTTTTAAGAAAACCCGTAGGAAAAATGTATTTTGCTGGAACCGAAACAGCTACCACCTGGACAGGATACATGGAGGGTGCAATAGAAGCGGGAGAAAGAGCAGCTAGAGAAGTGATGCACGATATGGGAATGCTAAAAAAGGAAGAAATATGGAGAAAAGAACCACCTACTAACGTAATTTTTCTTTTTTTAATAATTAGAGACTAGGGAATGTGGGACAGATTTTCTGTATCGCGAAACCCGTTAGAAAAACCTTTTTAAATATTTTATATGAATTGATACTCTAATTTGTTGGCTATTATTAGGTTAGAATGTCTTGCCCCCATAACAGCGGACATTTCGTGATGCAGCGACAAACGGGTAGAAAATGACTCCAAAATATTTAATTATATTTCATTTCAATAAGTTTTAGCTACAATTTGAGTTGCCATAGTTAAAAGCAGTTTCATGGCCAAGGCGATCCAAAATTGTACATTATATTAAAGAGAATACGTCAAAAAGTGGACTCCGATGCAATTCCAGACACTTCAAAATTGTCCATGATTTGCCTAAAAAAAAAAAAAACGTGCTCGATTGCTCCAAATCGCCATGTTTTCTTTCTAATCTTCTTTGGAAATAAACGCACGAAACACACAAAAAGATTCGTAATTTGGTAAATAACTAACTGTAAATTTATCAAGAAGTTTGTTTTTTCAAAAAAATATTTTCACTTTATGAATGGAAAATTAAAGTTTTCAGCTGCACAAAATCATGGCCGAAACCACGCCAGAATAACAAATACCAATGCCGCGTGGCTGATTGGAATCATGACATGCTGCCAACCCTTTGTTTTTATAGTATTTAGTGTCCGGGAATAACCATCTCTCTACAGTTTTAATTGCTGAATTTTTAAATACAAACTACCTTGATGTCAATTATATTAAGACTTTACCACATTTTTCCCGTCCTCCCGAGAAATTTCATATGATGATGATGATGATGATGATTATATATCAAATGCAGATACCTAAACAAAGTTTTCTTGGCTTAATTTCTAAACAGCGCTTTTGATTTAGCAATATAACATTTATGATCAGATATAAATATTCTTACTGTTAAAGATTTAACTATTCAAATCTTCAGAAATATTTCCATATTTGAAATCTTCTTGAACATATGCCAACCCGATGCGATTATATAAATATGCAGTTAGGTACAGGCAACTCCCGACTTTCGAAGGTGACGAATTCCTAAAAATCTGTACAAATGTTAAATCCAAAACACTTGGATTTTGGAAATTTCCGTTAAACATAAAATTAAGATTTCAAGGAAGAAAAGTTTAGTTTTTAGTTGGTATGTTACGATGTAAAAACCATTATTTAAAAAGTTTAAACCATAAATTAAACAGAACACGCAATTAATTTTTTTTTTTCCTAATGACTTTTTTTCTTGGCGAAATCAACTCTAGCTGAAAGCATCGCTTCACAAAATTTCGAACATCTTTCTTGATACGCGAAATTCCAATGTCTAAGTACATGCATACTTATATCCACATTTTCTTATAGTATTTACTATCATTTCGAGACAATTCATAATCCTATGATTTTTTGAAAATTTGAGTAATTAAGAAACGTATAATAGCCGAAACTGTTTTCAAAAATAAACCTGAACGTGTAACGTTGTACCTAAATAAAAAAGAGCAAACTACGTAACTGGAAATTACTTTATCTATCGAACGCAACGCCACGAAACTAGGTCATATTTTAAAAATTTTTAAATTTTACATGCATTAATTTTGAGTAAGTGAATTGCATTACACTATTCGTGAAACTTTAAATACTCGGTGCTTAATGTATCCGAAACAAGATCTTCTGAATTCTCCGAAAGGCCCTTGGACCCATGAAGTTTAGGATAAGTTCCTACTGTGTAATTTTGTAAAAAATATTTTGAAGTTCTTAAAAGTATTTGCATCATTATATAAGACGTGACGAGTTTGTTTTACTTTTGAAAAGATTTGAACTCAAATATTAGACATACTTTTTTTCATTTTCATTATTGTATTATTTAATAGTCTAGTAATTTTCCCGGCTAATTCACAGCATATTTGAACACATTTTGAATAATTTATGCTCATACAAATTTTCCAGAAAATACGTAACATTCTTAGTAAAAACCTTCAAAAAATGAAACTTGTTCCCTCTGAAATCCTATTTTAAGAATTGTAAGACATTGCTTTCAGAATCCTATTTAATTCTATTAAAGCAAGGTTCGAAATCTTAAATTTAACAGGAAAATCAACGAATTCAAAGTCACAGGAAACAGAAATTCGCGCACCATTCCCGAAAATTTCCTAGTGTTTCACGCTGTGATTCCACTCGGGTCCCGCCCGTATATTTATCGCGTGCAATTTTTTAATATCTTAATTTTAAAACTATATACAATTTCTAAATTTTTCTGATTTTTATTAATTACTATTTTTAACAGGGCATTGAGCTTGATCCTTCGAGAACTACGTGGTTGGAAAGGAACATGCCACCAATTAAAACAATTGTTTATTTTTTGAAAATTATTTTAATTCAAGTACTTATCATTGTGGTTTCCTTGTTGTTAACAAATCTTATTTGACTTTCTTAAAAAAAAAAAAAAAAAAAACCATTAATGCATATTGGAAGAAGAAAAAAGTTAAAAATTAAGTTACTTTTGAGTATACTATGTTATTAAAAGGTTAAAATCTTTAAAGAATTATATTTTTCTATAAAAAATCTAGTACTAAAATATTATAATCAAAACTAAACACATTTGCTTTACTATTTACAAACTGAAATCTTTAAAGAATTGTATACACATTTTGTGTGTTTTGTAATCCATATTAGTGAGAAATAAAACCATTTTTTGAAAAGTAAGGAAACTGTTTATGTATAAAAAAATTATATGTAATTTCTTAGATATAAAAATTAAACTATTAGCAACAAAAGTAAAGTTTTTAAGTGGTAATAAAGCAAAATTCTTACTATTTAACTATATATTAACACCTTTTTTAAAATTTTAAATATGTAAAAAGGTGTTCTTAAACACTCCTAAAAATTAATCTTAACTCATCATAGGCTGAATTTTTCTGCTTAATCCTGACACTATTTTGAAATTTTGTTTTACCTAGATCAAGATAACATTAAATTCTGAGTATAAATAACAATTTTAAACAAATCACCACCCCAGCTTTTTTTTTTTACTTTTTATAAATGCATATAGTGAATTTTGACCCCTCCCTAATTTCAGTTGTGACAATAATTGTTAGCGTCAATTCAGAAAATGGGCAATTTTATAATACCTGTCTGGTGGTTTTAAGGTAAAATTCAAAAAGGTGTCCATTAAATATCAAAGCATGGAATGAATGTACAGTACATGGGCCTTTTTTAATTCTTGCATTTTCTTTTTGTTTTGGAGAAAATTGCAGTGGCAGATTTAGCATCAATGTTCAAGGATTTTCATACTTTTATAATGACTTGTTAAAACATAACAGCTATGACCAAGTTAGCATTTTCTAATTGCATTTTTAAAACTGAAGAGGTGATGTGAGGCTGTGTCAAATTCCTAAAACATTTCCTGTTGGTTATCCACATGAAAACTACTCTTTTACTGTATGGGTAGGGTTTTTCCAGTTTTATTCTACTAGTATTAAGGTTCAACTGTTAAACTATCAAATTATACAGAGTTTTATTATAGCAGGTTAAGCATGGTGAATCAGCAGAATATTCCAAATGATAGTTGAGATTTTTAATTTCTTCAAGATATGTATCATGCTGTCTTTTTATCCAGTAGCAATTAATTGCATCTTGTCTGTTAAAAAGTTTTTTCTAACATCCTTTTTTTTTTTTCTTCTTCTCAGATATCGCATAGTGCAATGTTTGTCTATACCCTGTGTATTTGGTATTGTTTAATACAACTTTTTATAAGTTAACTTTTGTGACTAAATCTGAAAGATTGCCAATAACAAAAGTAAAATTTAAATCTTCTCTAATATAGTTGATTAAGAATTTTCTTTAGGCTCATCAAATCAACTTGTAACCTTAGAACACCAAGACCTGTCAGTTTTGCAACTCTGACAGGTCAGTCTTCTAATTGAAGATGTTGCTAGTGCAGTAGTGGACATGGAATGGAAAATTTTCATAGTAATAATGATGTATTCAAAATATCATAGCAATTATAGGGTTGGCAACTAAGTGATTGTGGATTTCGTCAATATTTTTTTGCTTTGTCATCGTGTTTAAAGCATTTAACCTATATTGTTTTCTTGTTGTTTGCACCTTTAATTTAGTAAAAAAATTGTATCGATAGTTATTTAGTTTTGTTTTTATCCCAATTTAAAAATGAAAGAACAAGACGTGCATTTTGGACATATTTTATTGTATTATTTCCGAAAAGGCAAGAACGCATCACAAGCACACAAGAAGTTATGTGCCGTATATGGGAATGAAGCCTTGAAAGAAAGGCAGTGTCAAAATTGGTTTGCCAAATTTCGTTCTGATGATTTTTCACTGAAAAATGCTCAACGATCTGGCCGTCCAGTTGAAGTTGACGAAACCCATATCAAGGCTATTATCGATTCAGATCGTCATATCACAATGTGTGAGATTGCACAGAAGCTCAATGTATAACATATATGCATTCAAAAAAAATTAAAACAGCTTGGCTATGTCAAGAAACTGGATTTATGGGTCCCTCATCAGCTTAAGGAAATTCATTTGATGCAATGCATTAGCAACTGCGATTCACTTCTGAAATGCAACGAGATTGATCCATTTCTGAAACGACTGATTACTGGCGACGAAAAGTGGATAGTTTATAGCAACGTTAATCGGAAAAGATCATGGGTGATGCGAGATGAACCAGCCCAGATGACACCAAAAGCTGAGATTCACCAAAAAAATATTATGCTGCCAGGTTGGTGAGATTATATAGGAATTCTGTACTTTGAACTTTTACCAAGAAACCAAACGATTAATTCAAATGTGTAAGTTCAACATCTCGCCAAACTAAGCGATGTAGTTCAAGAAAAGCGGCCAGAATTGGCAAATTGTAAGGGTGTTGTTTTCCAGCATGATAATGCAAAGCCCCACACATCTTTGGTCACTCGCCAAAAATTATTGGAGCCATATAGCCCTGAACTTGCGCCTTCAGATTACCATTTATTTTATTCCATGCAGAACTCCTTAAATGGTAAAATTTTTAATGACGCTGATGATGTAAAAACACATTTAATTCAGTTTTTTGCTGGCAAAAATGAGAAGTTTTATGAACATGGAATTATGACACTGCCTGAAAGATGGCAAGAGGTCATTGACAAAAATAGACAATACCTAATTGAATAAAGTTATATTTTTAAGCAAAAATTTTGAATTTTCCTTCTTATTTAAATTCTGCAATCACTTAGTTGCCAACCCTATAGATACACAAGTGTGGAAAATTTTGCAAAATATCCTGCATTTGTTTAGCTGTACAAATGTTGCTGTAAGGTTTGTGAGTGATGGCTATGGATGTCCAATCATTTCCAACATCATGATCACCAAACCAAAGCCCCATTTATCAATGCAACATTTCCAATCTATTTCACAACATATGCAACTGCACATGTACAATAAAACTGCATTTGTTGCACAACACAGTGTATGGTGAAGTTACATAACAATTATATCAGATACTTATGAGTATTATAATTTCTACTCCACATCCACATCTGCAATTGAAATAAAATTATTGCATTGAATTTCAGGAAATATAAGATTTTTCTAATGTGTTTCATATGTACAGTACATTAAGGAGATGATAGTGTCAATTTTACTTTCCCAGCCATTTATATATGAGGGAAAGTGTGGCGATTTGTGATGTCAAATTTCTGAAATTTTGCTGGTAGGTTTGTTTATTAGGGGGATTGATACTATTAAATTTTGGTGATTTTAAAGGTCGGGGGTGAGGAGATAATCGGGGGTCAGGTGTGTCTGCAGTAGGGTCAGACTTAATGACAATTTTACTCTCATTATTAGCATTTGCAACCTTTTTTCATAAAACTCATCTCTACCCTTAAAATCAAAAATGCAGTTGACCACCTACTCTTTAATTATAATCAACTGAAATGTTATATATAGGGAAGTTCAGCTTCCCTATATATAACATTTCTGGAATTTCATAGTCTGGAATTTCAGTAATGGTAATAACTGTTATTCTCAATTTGTTTTCATTCTGTAGGTAATCCCCTCCGCATACTGACTTCCATTGTTTTGGCAATGTAACTGTCTTCAGAATAGGAATCTTTTGACTGGTGTCTTGCACATGGAGGCAATCAACACAGGCTGGATTATCCAGAATTTTCCAACTAAAGTTTGGATCTGTCACTGTGCAATTATCTCCTATTTGGCCTTATGAAAGAAGTTTTGGGAGATAGTGCCAGTCCATGCAAACCACAACTCCTTCAGCACATTTACGCTGTAAATTTAATACGTTGCAAAGGATGCTTCATAGCAATTTGAGTGGTGCATGTTGTGCTGAATGTATATCATGGTGGCATAATATCTGGTATATTTGGGTCTGCTGCACTCCATAACTTAACCTTTCAAGCATTAGTTAGGTTAGATGTTTTTGTTTGGATCCATCTATTCAGGGCCAGAAGAGTTCTGAGATATAAAAGAATTCCACCAAGTAAAAATTTATGACAATTTAAATGACAGTCAAAATTTTTCTTTGGTAAAGAAAAATTGACTGTTGTCATTTAAATTGTCATAAATTTTTACTTGGTGGAATTCTCTTACATATCAGATGTTTTTTGCTTGGATATAAATTGTTTAGTAATTGCATCATTACATCAAGACGTAAAATGATGACATACAATTCGATTGGCACTCGGCAACTAAACACACGCTGACCAAATGCACTGCCAACTGAACTCTTTCAATATTCATTTCTGTTGACACTGACCGAACACATCACTGACCAATGTGCCACCAACCAATGCTTTTGATATGCCATTTAGAAAAAGTTTTAATTGGCATAAAATTGCATGGGAACAAATGAATTTTATTCAAAATGTTATTCAAAATTACAGAAGCTCAAATTTATCTTTTATGGCTTAATTTTATACTTATAAACTGAATTACCTCTATGGAGGAAACTCCCCATGAACTTAGCCAAACTTCTGGGTCTATAGGTCAAAAAAAAATACAGCATTTTTGGTGATTTTTGCACTTTTCAATTGCTTATATTTTTACAACCGCATTACAGAAAATCTTGAAATTTTGCACACTACCTAAGAAAATTGATTTTCTTTCGAATGATATCTTCGAAATTACTTCAGGTGTTTGGGGACAGAAATCGACCTCTGAAAATCAGCAACTCTAATCTATACATATATAATTGTTTGTCCTGACTGACTGACTGAATGACTCACTGATTCATCATTGCCCAGAGCAAACCACTGGACCTAAAGAGCAGAAATTTGGTACACAGGGTTCGTCATGAAAACGCACACTAAGAAGGGATTTTTAGAAATTCCCCTGCAGGGGGTGAGGGAGAGCATTAAGGCTTAACCGGAAGAACAGCTTCTACTGTACTATTTTAGATGCGATTTTTTGTTTTCAACTACATTTAGTCTTCATTGAGTACTTAGGTGTATTAAATTGATAACATTTCAGACATTGTTATAAATATTTTTATCTATTTCAATTTTTAAAATATTCAAACCGTTTTTAAATTCAAATTTGTTATTGCATATTGGTTCGATTACAGAACGATTGTAAACACTCCAGAAAATTGATCAAATTGAAAATAGTTCGTTTGATTCTCGGCAATTCTCTTCAGCTGTAGATGTTATATAGACCTAACAATTACTATGGTTATTGAAATATTGAATGTAAATGGGGTTTGCTTGCAAAACCTCCGCGGACGAAGTCGCGGGTAACAGCTAGTTCCTGTATATGTAGTCAGTCACTGCCATGCCTCCTGATGTTTAAGTGGACACAATGAAAATTTCAATAGATTGTTTGTTTACAGTCAATACTAGAATGAAACTTTCTATTGTCTTATACATACTGAAAGTTAGGAGCAGACACTCAAAATCTGGATAGATAATCGTGACTAACTGTTTAGAAGTGTGACGGGGCAAAATCCTGACAAGATATTCATTTGAGTTTTGAACCAGACCTTTTGTGCAAGTTTGGAAATGCTAAAAGTCAGACTTGACAACACTATGGAATGTGTGTGCCAGTTGTGCAGTAAGTGTTGTTACCTCAAAGTTCTCCTCATTCCAATTGATTATACTATTATATTATAATGGTATTGCTATTCACAGAACTAAAAATATTTTATTACATTTGTAAATACTTATTGTGTTATTATATAATTTCCCATTTCTGTAGGAAAATAAGTAAAAAAATATTTGAAACTTTCTACTATATTCAAATGTACTTTAATTGCTGATATTTACAGTAATAAACATTCCAAAATTTTAACATACTCCTGCTCAACGATACATGCAACTTCAGTTACTTGTATGTATTGTTGCTGTAACAATTAAACCACTGATGTGTATCACTTTTTCATTCTAAATTCAGAATTCATGTTTTGAACGTAATTTTTTGCCTTTGCCTGAAAAAGCTTCAAAATTATCTGCTGGTTTATTCTGTAAGCATTAAAATCCATTTAATGTCTAAATTATGTATCAAAAAATATAAAATGTAAATATGATTACCTCTGTCTCATTCTGTACAGGTCTGACTGATCTCATAAATTTAATTGTGCCAAGTTCATGGTTATAATCTGGTATCCCTCTAAATTAGAAGTATAAAATTTGATGATAAATATTTTGTGCTAGATAATTTGAGAGGGCAAAGTAAAATGACTATACCTTATGGGAACTGCCTTATTTATTAAATTTGATAGTACCTGTGAACATTTCTTCTTTCCATCTAATCTATTACCTTTTCCACTAAATGCCTATAAAATAAGAAATATCGTATTTTTATTAATATATAACGTATATAAAGTTAAAAATATTTTAAATATNACAAGTCCATTTTCGAATTGCCCTCCTTAGCAATCCAATTGCTCCCTGTGGGGCGTGGGCCCCACGTTGGGAAACACTGGTTTGTGGCTAGTGTGACACGGGATAGCGTAGATTACGTTTGTGTTTTTGGAGAGTGTTGAGTTAAATTAAAATAAAAACAATGCCGACAAAAAAATTTAGTAGTGTAATATGGAAATATTTTACGATAGTAAATGACGAATGTGCTATTGCTACCTATCTTTAAAATTTCATATAAGTAATGAAATTCATTAAGATAAAAGATCCGTTAAAGATCCGCTAAAAAGTTACGGATACGGATACGGATTTTTTTTTCCCTCGGATATCCGCGGATACGGATACGGATATCCGGCACATCACTAATTCTAATGTAGCATTCTTTAAAAATAATGGATTTAACTTTTTTTACATTTGATTTTTATTAAGCACTTAATTTTTTGTTCTTAGATATTGAAGTGATCTTGATACAAGATACTATGCTGTTTTGTCACATTTATAAATAAATATAAGAAAAGCTATCTAGATTATATGGCTGGTCTTATTTCAAATGGTGTGAAGCCATTTATCAAATGAGTCGGCTAGTAAGGGTAAAATAAGACTAGGACATCACATGACTTTGTCGTATCATGATAGAATTGAGACAGAACCAGAAAGAAAGAAGCAATCCCTGCACTTGTTAGGAACAGAAGAGGCAATTCTTGCCTGACAGATGCAGACAGGTGAACTTTGCACTTGCTACCACAAGAGAGGCAATTCTTTTACCTGTCAACCATGGGAAAGGCGATCCTTGCACTTGCCAACACTGAGAGACAATCTGATCGCCATCAGTTGTTTTGTTCAATTTTTGTGCGCACAATTCTTGACCCCTAGACCTAAATTTCATTAGGTGCACTCTATTGCATCAGAGAGCAGACATTTGTCAAAGTCATGGACTCCTATTTTTTTACATTTAAATGGACCCTCATTATATTTTTGGAAAATGGCAGTTTTAGCAAAATTGATCAAACACAATTCTGTAAGCCACATAGAAAAGACTTCACTAATGCTCTGCCTCATTGATATTGATGCTACAAAAATATTATTATTATTTAATAGCTCTATAAAAATCATGAAAAGGAGAGACATCTTATATTTTATAATAGTTGCAATAGCATCCATATTCCTTTGCATTTAGTATTTTATGAGGGAGAGTCAAAAAGTAAGTTGCAATTGGCAAGAACTTTTTGTTGACAAACAATATTTAGATGAAATCTGGTAGCAACATTGGTAATACTTCTGGCTACAAGGTGTAGCAGATTTATCAGCTTAGCTATAGAGATTAATCAATTTTCAGACATAAAAGATGTCACGTAGTTGTTAGGAACAGAAGAGGTGATTCTTCTTGGAAGTTTGTGCAGAAATTCATTTCTTATGGACAAAAAGATGTAATCTGCCTGAAATTCAACACCAATTGAGGGAAAACTTGATGAGAAAACTTTTGCATGACACACACCTTTCAGATAGCATCATGAAGACTCTACTGGAAAAATTCAAATGGGAACATCCTTTCTACAGTCCAGACCTTGTGCCTTGTGATTTCCATGTGTTTGGCCCCATGAGAAAAGACCTTTTGAATCGCCAATATGACTGATGAAGACATCACAAATGTGACACAAAAATGGTTATCTCATGTTGGACAGAAATACTTCCAAGAAGGAATAAAAATACTCATGCCACACTATGATAATCACCAAGTTTATTTAAACACTTATGTTGAAAAGTAGCACTTGGATTGCACCTACATTCACACAAATAAAAAGTTTTGACACGTACGTTTCATACTTTATTTTTGGTACAAGTGCAACTTACTTTTCAACTCACCCTCATATTATCCACAATGAATAATGATATTTTGGAACTTTTCACTCAATAAATGATCTTTATAAATTGAACAGAATTGACTCGATAGCCATGTTTTGACTATACTTTGAGAGTCCCTGGTGTACAGATCTGGCTCTGTTCTGAATTAACCTACTTTATGTTGTTTAAAACATACAGTTGTAAGTACTTCTTAAAGATTATTAATAAAGAAATGTTTACAGAAATTTAAATTTTAATAGAATATAACTATAAAATAGAATATTTTAATCAATTGAATAAAATGCTTGTTTTCAAGTTAAGCAAATTCTTTATAATAGTAATTTTACTAACACATCAGAACATTTATTTGTACTTACAATAAAACTATCAGAATGAACTTCTTCGGGAGCAGGAAGAGACTGAAAATAGAAATATATATATGAAAAAAAACTTTTATTCTTACATTATTTAAATTTTTATTATTACATGAACCTTATCTATGTTATCATTAATTATTTGCAATATGCATTAATTTTGAAAAAAAAGAAAAGATATATAATTCAGTTATTTCATTAACAAAATATATATCACATAAATAATTACTACCGATCACTTCATAACACTATTCTTAAAACTCAAATTAAATAAATTAGTAAGTCATGAATAAATAGTTTAAAATTAGATATACCGATACTATGTGAAATAAAATTGTCTAAATCTAGTCTGATTCTCATACAACAGAATTCTCACTTCAGCAATGGCAAGCAATAATGGCATGCACTTACCATTGTGACATCACTTTGGGATAAAAATTTGTCTGCAAGTGAGCTGAACTGGTCTTTTACTGGATAACAAGCAGAAAGAATAGAATTTAACCAACAGGAAAATAATTTACAAGAATGATGAAATTCGAACTCAAATAGCCAGAGTGACAATTATTAAAAATCTATGTGCTATATTCAGTTCAAAATGAAATTAAATCATGTGAGGATGAATTGAAAAGTTTTTGGAATGACAACTTGGAAATCATTTATTTCATTTTCATTCTGCTTTATTTCTCAACATAATCCTCTCAAATCTTAACATACTTGATCTAATGTTTTTTCAGCTTTTCAATTCCCTCCTGGAAGTGATTTTCTCCAAGACCCACAGAATAGCTATTTAGACTCAATAACCTCTTCAAATATCTCTTTCCAGCTAAGAATGTCTTGAGTTTTGGAAACAGGTAGAAGTCTGAGGGAACTAAATCTGGTGAATATGGGGGGAATGTAGGAGAATTTCAAACTTAATTTCTGCCTGTTTTTGACGAATGACTGCACTTGAATGAGCGGGCACATTGTTGTGGTGAAACAGCACTTTTCTTGATCCTATTCAGGCATTTTTCCAGGATTGTTGCTTTGAACTTGTCCAAAGTATTGTTGGTTTCTTGAGACACCAAAGGAATTTTGTTAATTGATTATCTTGGCCATTTACATAGTATTGAAAAAGGAAAAACTATGTCATCTTGCCAACTGAATAAATGGTCTTTGCCTTCTTTGGAATCTGACCACCCTCTCCAATCCACTGTTTTGATTGAAGTTTTGTTTCTGGTATGTAATTGTGAATCCATTGTCATAAATCATCACTTGAAATCTGTTTGATTTCTCTTAAACATGTGAACGGAGGGGTAGAGCGTCAAGCTTGAACCCACTTATCAGCTTTGTTGTCAAGTGACGGCTTTAGGGGGCTAAAAGTGAGTGGGGAGATCGATGAGTAAGTTGACAGGTTCCCAAATAAATACACAGGTTGAACAAGAATAACACATTTAATAAATGCTAAAATTATACAATGCAAATGGCTACAAAAATGGGAATAATCAAAAATTCTAGGTCGCAACAATGATTAATCTATTCTTGTCTAAGTTCCGGACCCTTTCCATCCAGTATTCTCCAAGTTAACTATTCTTAATCTATCTTATAACTAAGAGAGAGACCCGAGAGATAGACCTCTCAGAGATTGTATACAAATAAATTTGCTTAATAATACCTCTACGTTCCCAATCTTGTAGTATGGGTTGTTGGTAAAAACATTCCTGGATTGGCGGAGTTGACCATTGGAGATTATGGCAAGGTGGCGAGGGACATAGTGGTGGTATGGGTCAGTTGAGGTCCGCAGTTGACATCCGCCCGGAGGACTGTGTCCAAGCCCTTTTTATACACGTCCTGGAGGGGTGACTAATACTAAGTCTGATGCAATCCCATGTAAGTTCAACTTATGTCAGGGGTTTGTTTATATTACTTGTCAGGAATCAAACTTTTCTTTAAATTTATTACTTTTTTCTATCCGTTATTATGACACTTTCCCATTATAAATTTGACAACAGCTGTCAAATACACTGAATTAATTGCCAAAGGTGACTAAGGTCAGAGTATGTGGTGCAACCTGAGTGATGATTGTTCAATTGGTCTACCCTTGTCAGTGACCCTTTTGTTGCCCTCTATTGCATAACAAGTTGAGGTTCTTGTTAATTGGCTAGTTATTTGTACATTGAAACAAAGATGGAAATAATCCCCCTGTTGTGAGGGGAGAACTTTATCTGTCGTCCTGAATGTCTTTGAAAGCTTAAAAGGTCACCTTCCGATGTGACACAGAACATTGATGGGTCAAAAGGTCTAATTTCGACCTCCAAGAAAGGGAAAACTGGAGGAAGAAAAGAAACAATGATGAATAAAAAATTTGTGTTAAGTTTTAAAACTCACAAAAGAGCTTAAATCCTCACAAAAAATTCCAAACTCTCGGCAGAAAGTCTGACTTGAATGCATTTTTGCTCCAGACTGAGTAAATGTGACACCCATCTTGCAGACAACTTCTTTAAACCCAATAGGTTATGCAAAATATGTACTACTCGTTCATAGGAAATGCCATAGCTTCCTCAATTTCATACACTTTGATAAAGCAAATCTTCTAACACCATGTCATGGACTTTATTCACAATTTCTGGAATGGTAAGTTTTTGGATGTCCCGAACATGATTCATCACTTGTGTGTGTGCAGCCATGTTTGAATTCCAAAACCCAAAAACTTACTGAGGAAAATGAAGACAATAAATTGCCAAGAACTCATTGTCCAAGCTGGATTTGATTTCTGTTGCAGTTTTTCCCTCCAAATGGAAAAATCTGATAACAGCTCAAATTTCACTTTTCTCCATGTACGAACAGGCACAGGGGGTAATTCACTTTCAAAGCTTGTAAAAATCTAACTATTGGCCAGATCAATGTGAAATTTGGAGTCAATACATATGAAATATTTGCTAATGCAGCATAGAAAAATATTTCCAAACAAAACACCCCCTAGCAATGATTCCAGAAATTTTTCAATCTTTCTTCATAGTGGAATAATTTCAAAATTTTGGCAAAGTTAGATTATGCTCCAAAGTTGTAAATTACATACAGTAAGGGACATGTTATGATGTAACATGTTTTCATAATATTGACAAATCCATCATATTATTTTGTATAAATCACAACTATCAATAAGATTGAGATTTATATGTATATGTATGTAGGAGAATGTATATGTTGCCCATATACTGATAGTCAAACTAATTTAAAATGTTTATACAAATGAACATTGCATAATTTACTACATTTAATCTTAAAATAAAGTCAAATAAGTATACATTTAAAATGGAAAAATTTATTCTTTTTAAAACTAAAATTACTTTTACACCTGAAACATTGTTTCTTCATATGTCTCAATCAACTTTCACACACCATTTCAGTTAAGAGTGTAGTTTATTACCATCCTGTTTTTTTCATTTGTTTTCATTAAACATACATTTAATAATTACATAATAATTATGTAATTATTATTAATTAAATTATATATTCAAATTATCATCATAAAAAAAATGAAAATCTGAGTGTTGTGTTTTAATTGGACACACAAATTTATTAAATGATATATTCTATATTAATAAAAACAATTTGTTTATTGTTTATCTGCTCAAACTCATATAATTTTCCTGATTGACAAATGTATTGTATAATGTATAAGTAACAAAACATTCAATTTTAGCAATTCTGCAATTTACGAAATGAGTACTTGACAGAACCAGTATATTTTTACCAAAATTATTATTAGCTCAGGCCATTGGGCTGGGTATTTATGATTGCATTTATCATTGTGAATAACTGTTAATAATTAGTTTTCATACTTCTATGGTTATTACTTTAATAAAGCTGTCAGCTAACATCTAAATAATTTCCTTTCAAACAAGTTAAATCTAAGGCGAATATACTGATATACACTCATTCCTCAGTAACTACAAGGGATTAGTTCCTGGAACTACAGATACCAAAATCAATAAAGGCTCAAGTACTTAAAATGGTGCAGTATTTGCATATAACCTACAAACATCCTCCTGTATCCTTGAAACTATTTTTAGATTATTTAGCATTTACACTATTAAGCATTATATGAAAATAGTTGTCTGTAAACGATACAATGTCGCAAGTGACCAAAAAAACTGTACATGTTCAGTACAGACTTATCTTAGGCCTAGGCCTTAGAAACATCTTGTCTAAGTAAATAGTATAAATCAGCAACAACATAACATTTTCTTTCTTTCAATATTTACAGATTGCTTTGTTTTAATGACCTGAAAGAAAATTACATAAAATAAAACATGAAATATTTTAAGTACAAGCTAGTTACAGTGTTGCTTTTTGAAACTTTCTGCATTTTTTTTCAAATATTTTTGATTCACATTTGATTGAATCCATACAAATATCAGAGCATAAATATTGTAGTCCAATATAGAGGTCTGACTATAATATTTTTGATCTGATATTTAAAAAATTTGTAACTTAAAAGATATTTCAATAGTGTACATCCCATGTAAAGAAATACTTATAAACCTTACAATCAAATTAGCATTTAATATGAAATGGTCAAGATTCTGTTTTTCAAATTTTTGTTATATCTAATGATTAATAAAATAAGATCACATTATAAAATGTATCTAACATATAAAACATTTAAACTGCATATATAATTTTAATATATACTTGAGTACTTTAGAAAAGTAATGTTAAAGAGAGAAACAATATAGATTTCTTGAGCGGAATGTAAGCAGAGCTCTTCATAAGTCATAAGCTGTTTTGTCTGTGATCGAAGGTCAAAGCAATCACATGACCATTGAACATGATTTTTTGAAAAAATGTACAACTAGGCATGAGCCAATGTTGTGACCAAGTGGAATTTCAAAATTCCATCTAAGGGCTAAGATATTCAAGGTCAAAATTTGCCATGTAAACTCTACAGGCCAACGACCAGTCATAAGTTTAAAGCAACTGCACAACCACTAAGCATGCAATTTTGCAAACACAGTATGTTCCAAAATAATGGATCCACTTTGAAATAATGACATTAATAAAGGAATAAGAAGCACATTGTAAAACTGATTCCAATGCAGACAAAGTATTTTAATGTCACTACTGAATGAATATAGAGCTTCATAATTAACATGTAATCAATCACCCCTTGGTCCAATTTTTCTAACTGGCTCCCAATTTCCTGTACATTTGCCCCATGAACAGTCATTTCTGCCCCTTCATATCTGTTTGCAAAACAACAGAAGAGAACTTATTATGATATCATATAATAATTTTATCAAAATGCATTGTTAAAACTCATACAGCATTAATAAAATAAAAATACAGTAGAACCTCGATTATCCAGACCTCTATTATCCAGATTTTCGATTATCCGGATTGTTCAAAATAAGCAAAAATTTTATGAATTTGCTGATTTGTACTTGGCGAATTACAACACTGTTTATGTACGTGATGGAATGTATAACTTTTTTGTTTCAACAGCATCTCACCCAGCACAGTGGTCATAAACTCTTAAATATATTTTACGTCGTAATAAAAATATAACTTGGCATACGTATTTATAAATTATTTATATTCAAATTACATCATTTCTATGACCAAGGGCTGTGTAAGGCATGGACGACGTGGGCCACCGCCTATGCCTCATGGTCCAAAGGGCCTCAAAGGTTTATGCATTAATTAAAGGCCGCGAATGCAACAAAAAAATTTTACTCATCATAAAACAATAAATAGTTTGTCAAATTTTTATTCATAAAAATCAGTTTCAACTGCTTTTTATTTTATAAAATCCGTCTTCTTGCGCCACCAGAGGGCCTTTTAAACAATAGGTAGTCTGTTAGCGTTGGTCAGTAGTAGTCCAAATTCAATACGAACGTTTGTTTCTTGAAAATTTGATCACGATTTAAATACAGTATTTACTTTTAATATTACCGATATGTCATCAAAAAGAAAACGTGTTGTATTATCATTAAAAGACAAATTAAAGTATTTGTTTCGATTATCTGAATTTTTCCTTATCCGGACTACCTTCATCCCCAATTAGTCCAGATAATCGAGGTTCTACTGTATATATAGGATATACATGTTCCAAACAGAGAGGCATCTCTGCTTCAGAAATTAAATTGCAATTAAAATGCAAAATAACACACAGTATGGTATAAAATACAGGACTAGTAATGTGCCAATACTGATACTGTATTGATACTTTCCTTCAATACTAAGTATGTTTTGTATTCAATACTTTTAGTTTGATACCAATACCAGATCAATACTTTCCTGGGGTATCAAATCTGGTATTGTTACATTTATCACAGACAGGTAAGATCTGACTGAAATTGGATTTTGCAGCCAAATTCAAAACTAAAATTGAATTTGGGTTTTAAAGTCAGTTTCAGCCAAAACTGAAGCAAAATCTTACACTGTGTTTGGTTAAGTTAAATTTATTATACAGTAAATATTAATGACCAAAAAAACAATAAATTTATTACACCAAATTTCATTTTCAAAATCTATATATAGTATGCTAAAAGTTCAGATTAATTATAAATATATGCACTATTTATAAATAACTTGAAAATATATTAAAATCTCAAATAAACTAATACAGTATTGGTAACATTCAGTTTATATTAGAAATCAGTTTTAATAATTTGTTAATAATAACTAACTAGAATAAAGCATGTTATTTATATTAAAATTAAAAGTTTCAATTACACAAAATGTTTCAAAATCAAGCCACAAACTGAACAGTGACAGCTGGTCAGATTTCCAGTTTTCATAACCAAAGATGATACTGTCTGGTATCAACAGTTTAGAATCAATACCATATTAATTAATACTTTAAAACTACTCACAATACCAATATCAATGCTTCTATGGTATTGGGATGTCCCTATACAGGACAGTAGTAAATTAGGGGTGAAATTCTTTAAAATATAGTTCTAGAATACAAGATAAATTAAAGGTTTCATCATGGGAAAAAGGAAAATTGTTCTGATCAGGTTGTGGCAAATTATATCAATTCTAGTGGTGAATATAGAACAAAAAGGTCATCTGGAAGACCCTCTGCACTGAATTTCCATCAAAAATAGTAATTTGCAGAAAACTTAGTAATTCTACAATGAGTCTGAGGTAAATTGCACTTCATCTAGTCATAAACATGTCAAAATCAACAATATACAGTTATGAAATCATCTACAAAATATGAAAATGAAACAAATTCTACCTGTACATAAGAGCATAAAGAAAAGCATTTGGCATGGGCAAATGCTTATCACATGACATGGACTGATAAATAGCAAAAAGTTATATAGAGTGATGAAAAGAAATTCAATGTGAATGAGCCAGATGTCTGGAAAATCTATTAGCATGATATTAGGAAAAATGAATTAATTTACTCAACAGAGCAAAGTGATGGAAGTGTTATGGTGTGATGTGCAATTGGATGGTGTGATATGACAAATCTAGCTTTTATCTCTAATTGTATCAATACTGCAGAATATCAGCAAGTACTAGATATGAGATATGCACCTAATGTCATTTTCAGATAAAACTGGAGGGAAGTTTTTCCAATTTTGACAAGATAAAGCACCCAATCATAATGCAAAATCAACTTGGGACTGGTTTTTGGCAAATGGTTTGTATGTTATGGACTAGTATCTTACCAAAGAAAGTATATAGCAGAGGCGGTGAACCTTTATGGGCCCACATGCCATATAGTAAGTATACTTAGTTTTTAACATGGTTATGCATGCCAAAGTTTTAGACTTCATATAATGATATTTAAATACACTTCTGGTCATTAAAATTGCTATACCATGAAGGTGGCATGCAACAAATGCAAAACTTGCATGAAAGGTACAACATGCTGAGATATGCAAATGATTATCATTTCAATGCATGCTTGCAAAGCAGGTAGGAGTAAGGCTACCTACAGTCTGTATAAAAGGGAAGATTGTAAAGCTGGTTTCTCATGCAAAAATTGTATTTGCATGTTGGTTGTTTCTGTAAAGGTTTTGTTATGCCTAGTGTAAAAAGGAGGAATGCCTCCCAGTATGTGTCAGAGTTTGATTGTGGTAGAAGCATGGCCTATGGAGACTGCAATTTATTGTTCCCCAGCAGCATTGCTGCTCATGTTGGTCATGATCACGACTGTCATGACAATATGGAATTGATGGGTCCAGAAGGGCCATACAGAACACTATGTGGAATCTCAGCAGCTTGTGGTCAGTAACACCTGAGAAAACAGACATCTTTTCCACATGGCCTTGCAGGATCATACAGCCATATCATGTACCCTAAGTCAGGAACTTGGGTCACTTTCAGAACAACAAATGTCTGTGCAGACAGTGTAATGACATCTGCAACACTATGGATTATGCTTATTTTACTGTAAAAGTCCAAAGTCTGGTAATATCTAATGATATTGAGTGGTAAAAATCCAATATCCCTGCTAAAATGTCCATATTTCAAGCTTTTACCGAGATACTGGTAAATGTCTATAGTAACAAATTGGCTTGGGTGAAAAAAGTATTTGTATGTATCTGCTGTTTAGTAATATAGTTTTAAAATGTAAATTTAAAAAATTAAAGTATTATTGTAATGATTTTTTATATAATTTACAATAGTAGTTATTATTGTAAAACTACAAGGAGTGGATTGTTTAAATTATTTGAATCACTAAATTAGTGCTAAAGTTACGAATGTTTGGACATTTTTTAAATTGTAAGTATATTTAATTTTTTTAAAAAAAAAGTCATGTAAAAATGTATTTTAGAAATGTAATTTTAATTTTTGGTTTATAGTAAACTGAAGAACAAAGGTCTTGTAGTGGTCCCTGTATAAGACCTTAGCATCAATGCCTCCAAGATTACATGGCATCAATAAAAAAGCAAAGAAATACCATTGCTTTATTCACTCTAGCCTTGGAGGAATACATGCATACACATTGGATCAAGACAAACTTTTACACAACTCAAGTAACAAAACACAAACATGGCACATGGGAAAAAACTCGAAATTTACAAGGCAGCAAGGGAAGAAACGGTCATCAACTATAAAGACAATACTATAATGACCCAGGCATGGAGGGCCTTAAACAAGATACAAAAAAATTACACCACAAGAACAAACATGTCATTAGTACTAACCAACCAATCATAACATGTAAGTGCTAAATTTTAAACAGTCTAACACATGACATTCTATTTTTAGAAATTAAAAAACATTTACTAGAGGCATCATCACATACATTGTTCTATGTTTGAAAGACTTCAAAATCTCAAGATGGAGGCATAACACCTCTGAAAATGTTTATTCTAATAATATTTCACGTTACTGACGGAGCTTTGTGATTTCCACCTCTTTCCCCGTACGAAAACACAATTTTGGCCATTCAGGTGTGTGTATGAAAGGCCAAAGAGTCATCAACACAGATGAGGTGATTGCCACTGCTAAAAGTGTACTTCAGATGGTTTTGAATGAGGGGTTCCAGGATATTTTCAAAAAAAAAGAAAAACACTATTACCACTGGATGAAGTGTGTTGCTAAGGAAAGTAAACTGTGTCTAAATGTATACAGAGTCAATAAAAAACTTTCTGTGTATTTTTGAATGTACCACATATATATTTAATTATAAATACCTGAATATCTTCCTCATTCATATTATTTTTATGTTCTGGTTCTTTATAACCAACAGCAGTTGCAAATTCTACCTAAATAAAAAAAACAACAATTTTATTTAAAATTATGCTTAAATCACAAATTATATATTGATTAATTCTTACTTTCATATCACATTCAATAATTGTAACTGCTTCACCTGGTTGGGTTTCTAAAACACACAGTTCATAAATCTGAAATGTATCATTATTAATTAGATACTAAGTAATTTTAAATTTAATTTATAAAAATGAAAATAAATATATATTATACCTTGCTGTTATATTCAATAGCAATAATATCTCCAGTTGTTAAACATGCAAAATTTCTTAATGCATTTTCCAGACTTAAATGTTAAAAAAACAACTTGAAATAATAATAATTTTAAATAATATATTACAAAATATACTTTGCAGTAGCAACAAATTTATTAATATTTATTAAAAAAAGTATTGAAACATTATTCATTTAGTTTTAAAGCTTAAAATTAAAATTAATTCTCATGAAATTTTTAGTTTAATATCTTCTGATAAATTACAAAACATTATTAATATAAACCTAGAAGTATTTGCAGTTAGTGAATATTGAGTGATATACAATGGAGGAGCACATAATGATTATCAAAATTTATTATAGGTATGAGGAGGTTTTGCTGTGACTACATGCAAATTACATGGTATTTTTGGTTGGAGAAACATGCCAAATGAGTTGACTGTGCAAAGACTGGTTCGAAAATTTGAATAAACAGGTTCGATTATGGACAAAAAAAGAACTGGCCATCCTCATACCAGCTGGTCAGTTAAAAACATTGCCACTGCAAACATTAGTGCAGCCGAGTGTCCTGAAATGTCAATTTGCCGTTAGTCACTGGAATCGGACATTTCAAGAAGTACTATGCAGCAGATTTTGACAAAAGATCTGCATCTGCACCCATTCAAGCTTCAACTGACTCAGGAACTGAAACTAAGCGACCATTTGATGTGCCAGATATTTGTTAATTGAGTACTGGAGGATCAGCAAACAGATGAAAATTTTGCTCAGAAAATCATCTTTAGTGATGAGGTGCATTTCCACTTTGATAAATACAATAAGAAGCAAACTTGCCACATTTGGGGCATGGAAAATCCTTGTGTTGTTCAAGAACAACTGATGCACGTCCAATGAGTAACAGTTTGGTGTGGATTTTGAACTATTGCAGTGATTGGAGCTCACTTTCTTTGAAAATGAGGCAAAAAATGCAGTTACCGTCAATAGTGTACATTACCATGAGACATCAGAGTTTTTGTGGTCTCATTTGGACATCGTGGATTTGAATGACATATGGTTCTAGCAGGATGACGTCACCTATTGTACAACCCAGAAAACAACTGAGACGTTGCAGAAGAAATTTCATGGGTGATTCATCTTGCACAATAGTGATTAGAATTAATAACCAAGATCGTGCACTCTAACACTGTGTGACTTTTTTATCTGGGGATTTATAAAGTTCAAAGTTTGTGCCACTAAAATAATAACAATTAAATTAAAAGCAGAAATTCGTAAAGTTATCAATGAAACTGAGCCATAACTGTGTGAAAATGTAATTGAAAATATTGTCAAAGAATATGTGTGTCAAAAGATTGTGGAGGGGCATTTGTCAGATATTCTATTCCACATTTAATTGCAATGTTTACCCTTTTAAAATGATGTAACAACTTTGCCAATAACAAATAAATGAAATGTTCTTTTTAAAATTTAAATAATGAGTTACTTTTGGAACCCCCTGTATTATTTTAACTAATTATTAATTAAAATTCTATTTAAAAAGGATACACAGCCTTTGGATTTGTTATATCTAAGAAATCTTCTGATTGAGGTTGAAATTTTGAAAAATTAGCAACAGGCAAAGCAGCACTTTCAATTTGAAGAATGCCTCCTTCTTCTAACAATAAATTTCTCATCATCTATTAAAATATATAGGAATATCATTTAAGAAGATTATTTTTATAAAAATTTAAGACATAAATGAATAAGAAAAACAATATTTATAATAATAAAAAAACAGATAAAGATGGAATTCCATTCGATAGTATACCAGGCGTACCAATTAATAATGCAGATTTTGTTCAATAAATGGGATTACAGATATGTTGACATATACATATATCTGATTTGATGCGTATGCCATTTTGTTGAATTGACAACAAGCTTTAAAACTCTATACATCAAATTTTCTGAAAGTGTTAACATCACAGATATTTTTATTCTTAAATATGTTAAATTTTGTCCCAAAAAAAGAACATTTGCAGGAAGTTTTAATTCATTACTTTATTTTGAAAAGTGTTGCTGAAAGTTATTGTATACTTCAAGAAGCTTATGGTAAGACAGAGTTCACTAAGTTCAGCATTATAAGCACTTTTTATCGCAAATACTTTTGACAAATATATAATCTTCATTGCAGGCGAATAAATATTTTAAAGAACAAACAGAAATATTCTGATAAGAAGAACAAAACACATATTTTCAAATTAAAATATTCAGTAAAGCCATTACGAACAAGCGACTGATTTTTGAACATATTCAAAGTTGTTTAAGCGATATACGACATATGTTGCAAGGTGACGCATGCATGGATGTAGGCTCATGTTGGTAATGTAGCGGCATATGGGATTGTTGTTTAACTGCTTACACAGCATGACCCATAAATTTGGCAGATCGAGAGTGGGAATGTTGCATGCATCCGAGGTTGCAGTGGGAAGGGACTCCCATATAAAGATGAGTTTTCGGTTTTTTCAACACTTGAGCATTGTTGTTTGGGTCCATAGAGCATTGTAACCCTGCTCGAGCATTTTTTTTGTAAGCTCTGTGTTGTGCCTTCCCTTCACTATATCATTTTGGTATTCTGCTAGGTGGCTAGCAAACATCCCCAATGTACTTAGTATTTGTTCCTGTTGCAAGATTCTCTAGCAGTATAGCATAGACCACCCAATTTTTCTATGTTGGAGAATTTATCCCGATACAACCTGACTTAAACCGGTACGCTGGTTTTTACCACACATAAATATCTGATTTCATGGTCTCCCCGAGCAGATCAACATGCTGATCAATTCACGAAAATATGGTAACATGCGACACCATTTCTGACAAACTTCCCATTTAACAAATTGCTCCTCCAGTCCAACACATTCAAGATTTTTGTTTTCCATGCTTTTACACTAGGCGTTTTTCAACGCGCGTTTAACGCCGAGCTAACGTGCGTTAGCTCGGCGTTCGACGAGCGTTAGTTCGGCGTTTAGCACTGGCTCAGTTTGGAAATGGACGAGAAAGTAATTGATTGTGTGTGCTCCTCCATCGTCGCTATAAGGCAGCACATATATCTCAAAGCGCCCGTAAAGTGCCCGCAAAACGCGCGTTTTAACAAAAATCTATAAACGCGCATTTAACGCGCGCTTGGCGTTTGAGTGTGTACGGCTACATAGAACTCTTGGTTCTTTAAAACGCGCGTTGAAAAACGCCTAGTGTGTACAGGGCCT